CACGAGATACCACACGACCAGAGTACACCAAAACAAAACAAACCCAACAAAACTCTACTAACAAACGATCAAACTACAACCAAACCAAACATCCTAAATAAACAAGAACTAATACACACAAACACACAACACTAACCAAACAACAAAACACTTACGTAATTAAAAAATAGAAACAATACTATACAAAACCATAACGATATACACTAACTAAATATAAACGAAACCAGTATAAACGACACAGATAAAAAGAACGCACACCACAAAAAAAATACACACAAACTAAACATCAAAAAACATTACATAACACGGCACTTACACAGGAACGACAACACGAAAAAACCCTAACCAGCCGACCAAACTAAACACTAAACCTAAGAAAAACAGCAAATTAGAAACCCAACCTGGCTCTTGAATACACCCAAACAAACAAAAAAAAAAAAAAAATATACGAAAACCACAAAAACGAAACAAAAAATACAACGTTAAATACCACGTAAGACGAAACAAATACTAACACACAACCAAAAAACGAACCGCACAAAACGAAATACAAACAAAAAGCCCTAAAAGAATGCAACACGCACTAAAAATACAAACAAACAAAAAAAAAAAAACATAAACAAACCACCGAATAACAACAAACAGAACGAATATTTACACTGAACAAACAATACCACAAAAAAACACAAAAAACACCCGAAATTCATCAATCAACACGTAACAACCACAAAAAAACTACACCTATCAAAAAATATAACAATACAAAAGCCAAAAACTAAAACTTAAAAGAAAAAAAACACACAACAACCAAAACACAATAACAACTAAAAAACTAAAAAAACACTAATACATGAAACAAAACTTAAATACGAACGTACAGACCCAGACCTTTTTCAAATAAATCAGCGCCAAAAGGACAATATCGCCCGACGATGACACAATCGGTCGGTGGATCGGGCGTATGGTCCGCATGGTATCGTGCCTGATCGATACAGCGGAACTCAGGCGGGCAGCCATTCCGAAGACACAGCTCGTCGTGTCCATCTCCTTCCCCGCCAAAGCGGTTCCGCCGCAACCCGCGGACCAGACGTCCGATGTTCCGCGGCCATCTGCGGACCAGACGCCCGATGTACAGCGTACGATCAGCATCCTCAAATACGCGAAACAGTGGGCCATCGCCGGAGCGCCAGACTCTGACGACGAGGAGTGGAAGGAGATGGCGGACCTGCAGCTAGAGGCGAGGGCGTGGGGTGACATGCCCCGTCGTGCGGGGTGTGAAGTGAAGGACTGATCGGCGAGATAGCCTGGTGAATTACCCTGTTTACTACAGCTTCTGCTTCTCCTCTTATCATCTCGGTTCTGGCTGACAAGCAGTAAATCTTATTTCGGTACACCTCAGACGATCTCGTGGCTACTCGCAGACACAAACCCCATCGACATCCCTCCTGTCTATACGATCCATCACATCCTACTCGCAATCAGCGTACGAGACGGAGCACGGCGCTATCTGCAGGAGAGAAGCATCTAGCGGGCGGAGAACCAAAGTGGGGGGAAGTGGGGAAGAGGGCGAGGATGCGGGCTGGAATTCGGAGTCCACAACCTGCAACTCTTGAGATGTTCATATTAGGGAAGGACATATGCGCGGGCGTCTAGACAAGGGACAGTATCAGAGTAGCGTCTTCGCGCCTGCGAGATGTATGTATCTGTGCAGCACTAGTCCCTGCACTATTGAACGCGAATCTCGCGAAGACAACCGCACGGACCAGATCCAGACGAGCTCTGTCAAAGCGCAGCGAGAAAGCTCGCTTCCGTCGTCCATACATCCTCCTCCACCAGTATCGCATTATGGACCGCCTGCCCCTTCACCTCCTCTCCAGCGTTCTCAAGTACGCTCTGGAGAGGGACGGCTCGAAGACCCAAGTCAGCCTCCTCACAGTCAATTCGGTACGCGTCAACTTCTTCCCTCTTTCCGCTATCAAATCTGACCCTTTCAGGCCTTCTACCTCGCCGCCATCCCCACCCTCTACCACTCCCCTCGTATCAGCGAAAGGCTCGATTCCTTCTTCCTCCACTCCGGCACCATCGAGCGCGAAGCACGCGATCAGCTCTCCAGCGCTGAGCTTATCCGGGCCGGTCACACCAAGCTCGCCGCACTCCGCCATGTGCGTAGTCTGTACATCAGACCCTCTCAACAGCTCGTCGCACCGATAGAGGGCCGGACGGAAGATGAGAAGGCGACCGACCTTGAGGAGCTGCGAGTAGGACTCGAACGTGCCGTTCAAAGTCTACTCGATCTCGAGGTCGGAGCTTTCCCCAATTTGCGGAACGTATACACCGGCAGCTCCACATTCGACATCATCGCGGGCCTTCCCTCACCGTTGCCGCCTCGGGACACTCTGATCATGAGCAGTCTAGGCGTCGGCCTTCTCGTCGCAGCACGCGATACGCTTCAAAGCTGGTGCTGGCGCTCGGGCTTCTCGGATGGCTTCTCGCCTTGTGGTGCCGCAATCCTTCAGCATACTCGCACGTTATACGATGGGAGACCCATCCCACCGTCTGCCTACACCTGGCTGGACGGCTGGGTTATACCTGTCACGCATATACATGCGGAGCTCGTTGAACCTATATTCATCGTCCCCGGCGGCCTCAACTACATTTACATTCACGATGACGCCAATCGGATGCTCGCTCTGAGTACGACCGGCGCCACCGCTACTTTGGCCAGCCAGGTCGACGAATTAATTGCGAGGCACATAGCCGGCACAATGCGCCTCATCATGAACCGCCTCGTCGAACCGGACAGGAGGCGGGCGGCTATCGACCAAACGCGCCTCGTCGTTGCTTTCGACTTTCCATTCGGCGAAAAGAGCGACGGCAAGGAACGGGAGGTATCGTCGTTGTTGGCACGGTCACTGGCGATCGTCAAAGACGTCAAAGCAATGGCGATTGCGGGCAGGGCAGGGCAGTCGGAAATGAAGGAGATGGAGAACTTGCAGATCGAGGCGAGGGTATGGGGCGATATGCCTGCATGCGAGATCGGGTTCTGAGGAAGATGTGAGTGATGCACCTGCCTTTAGCTCGACGCCTTGCTCGCTGGTGAAACTCGCTGATATGATCAGCACTAGAGTGACGGCGTCGAATGCACCTTCTCCTACACTCCCATCTTCTCTTCCACGCCATACTGCCCCGATCGGATACGAGAACATGCGGACCCTGTTATGTGCCGGAGAGAGAGTAGACTGCAGGGCCAGAAGAGGGATAGGGGAGGCGCAGGGAGGCGTACAGACAGTATGGCATAGGCCGGACTCGTCACTTCGTGTCAATCAGGATTTAATCCGATATGTCCTCTTGTATATACGAGCCATGTGCGGTAGGACGCAGGCTATGGACTGTATGATACTCGGCCAGGCGATTCGATGAGGTCCGCGCAGCTCTGAAAGCTGCTCTGGCGGGCAACGTTGCCTAGCTTTGCAGGCTGCAAAGCGTGAGGTTCGAGGCGGAGATTGACGGCGTTATAGCTGAAATGACGCTCGAATTCGGCTCTCTTGGCTCGCTAACCGATCACCAGCGCAGGACCTTGTCTGTCTTTCACCCTCATCAACATCAACCATCATCACTGCGCTTTCCTCAATATGTCTGGCTCCCCACCGCGCGAGGAACTACTCCACAACGCAGTTCTCTTCCTGAACGATCCGCAAGTCCAGACGTCCTCGCTCGCCTCGAAGATCACCTTCCTCGAAGGGAAGGGTCTGAACGAGGATGAGATACAAGAGGCACTGCGGCGCGCTCGGAGTGGCCACAGTGGCGGTGCTTCATCAGCACCAGTAGCTGGGCCGAGTCGCGGGTATACACAGACACAAGCAGGATATGGGTATGAGCAGGGGTTTGGGCAGAGGATGATGCCGCCCGAGGTGCCTAAGCGGGATTGGAGGGATCTATTCGTATGTCCTGCCCTGACGAGCTCGCTGTGCTCGGCGACAGTGACTGATAGTGCAGATCATGACTGTCATATCCGGGGGAGTAGTATATGGCATGTCCGTACTGGCCAAGGTGAGTCCTCGCCTACGATGGTATACCCTCGATCCTATAGCCCCAGATTAAGCCCTGCTGCCCGTCGCATGACCCCCTACGGGTTGCGCTGACTGGATCAGAAATATCTTCTACCTCATCTTCGCCCACCTTCCAGCTCTTCGTTCCAACAAACCTCCTCCTCCCTATCTGAGCAATTCGCAGAAGCCGACCGGCTCCTCAACGATCTCCAAGCATCGACGACAAAGCTACAAGAAACGCTGGATAGCGACCGGGAGCGCGTGACGGCGGTAGTGGAAGGTGTTGAAGAGGCGACGCGGATGGTGAAGGATGGAGAGGAGAAGTGGAGGGAAGAGATGCGAGAAGTGAGGGGCGAAGTGGAGAGTCTGAGAGAGCTGGTCCCGAGGGTAAGTCGCAAGACAGCTTCGGCCCTGTGGATCGGACCTGGGAAGACAGACAGCTGATCATATAGCTCATCGAGAAACACGCTACATCCCAGTCAAACTCGCTACAAGACCTTCAGTCCGAGCTCCGTTCGCTCAAGACCCTCCTCCAGTCTCGCCAATCGGCGGCACCAGCTTCTGGCAGTACTGGTACCGGTACCGGCACCAGCGGATCAGCCTCGAACGGGATCAGCTCGACTCAGGAGGCTGCCAACAAGCTTTTACTGCCCAAAGGCAAGGGAATTCCGGCGTGGCAGATGGCGTCGAGCAGCGGAGGGAGCGTGAGCGGAGCGTCGACGCCGAGCGGGTCTGGGTCGATGTCTGGGAGCGGGATGCTGGAAAAGGAGGGCGAGTCGGCGAGGGAGACTTGATTCACAGAGTGCTGGCGCGAGGCGGCATCGAGGTGGCTGATTCAAGCTTGATGCAGGTTGTAATTATCTGACGTGCGACTACAAGAGACGAGACAACGCGTCACCGCACTGATGAAGCGCAAACAACCGAATTTCACAGCTGACCTTGCTTCTCCAACGGATCGTGCACACACACACGCCTCGTTCCTGCTTCTCGACCAAGTCCTTCCTTTTCTCCTTAATCTCTCTTCCATTCTCCCACTGACTCTACTTTCACAGTCTTTACTCGTCCAAAATGACACAACTGCCACCGCACATCATCAGCAACATCGCACGATATGCGGCAACAGTACCGGACAGACAACTCGACATTCTCGCGCTCTGCTCTGTGAGAGGAATTCTCCTTCCATTCCGCCACCCAGCCTGCGTCTGCTGACAGCTTCCAGGATGCCTATCTCGGCGCCATCCCCACTCTCTATCATTCCCCTCATCTCGCTTCCAGCTACGACTCCTTCTTTCTCAACACGGCCACAAACCTTCCCGCCGACTTTGCCTCCCTCACACCAGCTCAACTCGTCAGGTCCGGTCATAACAAAGCGGCTGCCCTGCGCTATGTCCATCACCTTCATATCGACATTCCTTGGTTCGCGCAGAACAAGGTGTACACCGCGGCGTCAAGGGAGGAGCGAGTGGACATAATCCGCTGCGAGCGGGAGGAGCATGACGCCACGGAGGCGTCGAAGCAGCTCGTCGCAGCCTTCCGGAGCCTGGAGCCAATCCCGATCGGAAACAGCATCATGCCCAGCCTCAACAGCGTCCAGGTGGGCATGCGGGGCGGGGTCCGACCGGCTCTTAATGATCCGAGCGACTACCTGCCGGTGAGAGAGTTCTTCCGGGCCCTCTTCCGTCGCACAAGGCCGACGGTGTGGTGCCAGAACCCAGCGCGGATCGCGGGGATCGTAAGCCACATCGTGGGCAAATCACACGCCCAACGCGACATCATTCCGCCCGAGGTCCACCTCCACGCTTACTTCTCGGAGGTCCTGGAGATCAGGACGGGCTGTACCACGTTCATATACGTGCACGGCGCCGCCTCCGCTTCGGAATCGGACCTCGCCGGTCTAACCAGGTGGCTCGGAGAGTCCATTCGGCGTTCCTTTTCGCGTCCGGTAATGCATGAGGACCCGATGCCGCTACGGAAGACGATCGTCGAGCGTACTAGGATCGTCATCTCCGGGCTGCCAGTGACCGGCCTCACGGTCCCCGTCGCGGGTTCGTCGACCTCGGCGGAACCAACGGGCGGCGGCGAGGGCGAGGCGGAATGCGGCGAGTTGCGTAAGATGGTTGAGAGGATCAGGGCGGCGGCGAGAGGACATCACGTCGGCCCGCAATGGTATGCCCCTCTGCAGATCGAGGTGAGGGGGCCGGCTACTACACTGCCTTGTCCCGGATGCGGGGTGGCACCGTGAGCGGGTAAGTCGGAACCTTGGTGTATGTGCAATCCAGTCAAGGTACGGCGCTAACGCTCCATCAGGCCGTGATCTCGCAGGGAGACCAACTTGACGGAAATGATTGGGCAGTTCCAATCAGATCAGGATATCTAGATACAGGCGGAGGTGGAGATGGTATCAGTAATTCGAGATGGATACCGAGTGGTAGATCAGGGTAGACGGAGATACATTTCCATCACTTAGTGTGGTGGATACGCAGCTTTCCAGGTACATGCACGTAGTTATTCGCTAGCACGATCAGCAGTAGCTCCCAGGAGATAGAGTACTGGGATATATGCTCACCGTAGTTCTTGGCCGGGATCTTTGGCTCGTGAGGTGTCTGAACCTGATACTCCCAACCCTGCTTCTCGGCCTATACCATCAGCGTCTCGCCTGATCGAGCTCATCCGCCAGTCATAGTAGTGGCGCAAGAAGAAGGACTCACAAACGCGATAGCCTCCTCCTTGGTCGGGAATGACATCTGTGTCCCCTGCATGTAATCCCCCGAACTCGCCCAGCCCATCAAGGGATTCTCCCATCTCCCCGCACCCTGAAGCACATCCCAGTCAATCAACCACCGCCTCGTCTTGCCCTTGGCGGACTGCATGGTTGTCTTGGTCGGCTTGTAGATCCGAGCGGTGCGATATCGGAGGGAAGCTGAATGTCAGCTAGGCCGCTCGGCTTGGATAGGCACCTCTCCCGATTCAGAGGCATAAGTAATAATAACCCACCAGGAGCATCCGATACTACGTCCGCCGTGATCTGGCTCGGCGTCTCGTGTAGCGTCAACGGTCCAGTCGCGGCGCCGGCAACGACATCGGCGGGATGGGTGTGTTTTATGGTAGGCCGGGCGTCGTTGTTCGACCGGAGAGCGGTGTTCGACAGGGATCGTGTCGCGACCAAGGATCTAAGCGGTCTAGCCAGCATGGTGGGGCGTGTTAAAGAGGCCATGTTGTTGATGATGAAAGAGGTACTAAGAGGGAGATTGCCTAAGTTGCACCCAAATCGGTTGGCTGGTCCCATGTCTCAGACGGAACCAAACACTTTTGAGGAATGTGGCACTTCCCCACTCTGGTCCACTATTCGACTATATCGCTACTCTGCAATCGCTACTGACAGTGATCTGAGAGACTGCGCGCACTGCGTGCACTGCCAAGACATCATGGGATACATGATATAATCTACCTGATTCTAAATGTCTATAACTAGCAAATGATACTAGATGCTACAGAGGAGCCAAATTATACTTGGGGTGCCCCGGTCTGTCCCTTACCCGCCACCGCGTTCTCGGCGTCAAACGATCCGACCCGGGTGCTCGTCGCATCGGGCGCATTGTGACGGCCGGTCTTCTCGCCGCTCATGACCTCAGGGTGGGCGGGAGGAAGGGTGGTGTCGGGCTCGCCGGAGTTGGGGGCGTCGCCGTAGGTTCCGCCGGCCTCGTTGTCCATGGCACCGCCGTGGATGTCGTACCTGTCCGTCATGACCTGGACCTGGTGGTCGGTCAACTTGGGCATCTCGGCGGCGATCAGGGTCGGCCTCCGCTTTGTGAGGTGCGCTTGGGCAAATACAACTGGGGATGTCAGCATGTTTTCCTTTGATAATCAGTGTCAAATAGGACAAACCGTCAAGTTCCTCCAAGGTCCGGCCCGTGGTCTCCGGATAGAAGAAGTAGATGAAAGGGAGGAAGATACAGTTGGCGAGCGCGAAGATGAGGAAGGTGTACGAGTTGATCGACGCAGTCATGGTAGGGAGGACCTGGACCACCAAGAAGTTTGACAGCCAGTTCGCTTTGACGTCAGCTTGCTCCTTTGTTGCCCAGACATGGTTTGGAACTCGATTTTTCACAGCAAAGACTCACTGCAGGTGGAAACGGCATTGGCCTGGGTCCGGACCGCCATCGAGTTGAGCTCAGCGGGGTAGAGCCAGGGGAGGGGAAGCCAGGTGGCACCGAAGAAGGCGATGAAGAGGAAGAGACCGAAAGCACCACCGTAGGCGGCCTGGCGGGAGCCTTCGACGAGGCAGCCAAATGTGATGAACATGGCGACGGCTTGACCGACGGTACCGATAAGGAAAAGCTTGCGCCGGCCCACACGCTCAACGAGGAAGAAGGAGGTGAGAGCAAATGCGGCCTGGCTGTCAGCGCGTTCTTGGGCGATTGACTCGTCAACTCACGTAGACCAGAGACAAGACACCACCGAGAATGTAAGCGAGACGCTTCTCGAGACCGATCTGGCGCTCAAAGAGGATAGTAGCGTAGTAGATGACGGCGTTGCACCCGCCGAGCTGCTGGAAGAGCTGGGTGGAGGCACCGACGAGGGCGCGGCGGAGATGCTGGTTCTTTCCACCCTTGAAGATCTCGCCCTTGTTGGCGCGGTTGTCGGCCTGGGCAGCGATAGCGTCCGACATACGGTTCTTCTCAAAGACGGTAGTCTCGTCCTCGACGGAGACGGCAGAGAGGGCGGCGAGCACGCGCATGGCCTCGTCCTCGCGACCGTGGGCCATGAGCCATCGGGGCGATTCGGGGAGAATGGCGACCATGGCGAGAAGGATGACGGCGAAGAAGATCTGGAAGGCGATGGGAAATCGCCACGAGACGGAAGTCTGGAGATCAGCGCGACTCTGCCCAAGGGTCTCTGGAACTTACGTCGACGTAAGAAAGGCCAAAGACGAGCCAGTAGGCAATGACGGTACCGACAGCGACCGTGGAAGCCTCGATACAGATCAAAAAGCCTCGGTTGTGCGCCTTGGACGACTCGGCGACCCAGGTGGGGATGGTGGCGGTGTTCATACCATTTCCGATACCGGTGATGATACGGGAGATGATGAACTGTGCGAAACCGCCGACGTTGCCGTTGACTCCGCGAGCTCCGGGACCGAAAGCAGTGACCGAGAGGATGGTACCGATGATCATGATGATACCACCGGTGGTCATCATCCTGCGCCGACCCATCTTCTCACCAATAAAGAACGCGAGGAGGGCGCCGAAGAAGCATCCAACCTCGTAGACCGAGACCACGGTACCTTGGAGGGTGGCACGGTACACATCGTCGTTGCTGGTTTGGCGGGTCTGAGCTCGTCAGCTAGCGTCCGTGCACCGAAGACAGAAATGCTTACTTCTGGGAATTCCCTGTTGAACTGCTCGGAACCGATGATACCAGACATGAGACCCTGGTCGTAACTGCGAGATCAGCGTGTGCCCCACAAAGTCGAGAGAGGTTACTCACCCGAACAGACTGAAACCACAGGTGGCAGTAGCGACGATAGCGTAGAGGAGGGTATTACCGTTCATCCCACCGTACTTGACGGGGGACGAAGAGGGCAGAGGTGCCTTCTCCGACTTGGAGAACATGGCGAATAGATGGATGTAGAGTGAGTGTAGTCGTCAGGTCGGACGTGTATGAGACCGAAACAAAGGACGGATGAGGGGGAACAATCAAATCTTCTGGGCTTCTTATACTGTCCACCCCCTTGACCCCATCTGCTAGCACCACCCCACAGAGGCTCCGCCGCCGAGCCAAACATTCCCCCAAAGACTGCGCGGTCGCGGACCAGGTCACGAGCGCGCAAATTTGTAGGGTGCGGCCCACATGCGGCGACGGTCCCGGACTCAGCGAGATGACGATGTCACTGGAATGCATCAAGCTTGTTGGCGGGACTAGCGCGTTGGAGTTCGGGACTGGAAGAAGTTTTGAGACCGGGTACCTCATATGCGTGCGGCAAATAGCCCTTTACGGCCGAGCGGGTGCCAAAAGCAGATATCATCCGTGTCTTGGCTCCGATCGATGACGTCAACGCCGGCGGCAGTGGCGGCGGTATGAAGTTTTTCTACAGCTCGCTTGCGCCGACGCCTGCAATTTTTCTTGTCCGAAGGGTCCGCGAGTAAGGCGGCGTCGGAGGTCACTTGCGCCTTGGTGTGAACAATTACAGGGGCGCCAAGCATGTCCGCGAAGGCCAGGCCGTCGGAATGTGCTTGTGAATCAGTCCGCCATGATGGGGCAAGGCAGCCCGCCATGGGCAGAGGCCATAGTTTCATCGTCAGTTCATGCTTGATTGGTCTTCATGTAGGTCGTGCAAGGTCAGTACGCTGTCTGCAGGCTTCTGTGCATATTGAGATGAGCTCCACTGCTCCAGGGTATGGTGCGGTCGCGAGATGCATCACACGATCAGCTCTCGAACCGCTCTAAGCAATCCGCCACACCCCTTAAACTCCGCTAATCCCTCTCCGCATCTCCGAGAAAATACTTCCGCTCCTCCTGCCCGCCGCCGCGCGCTGCCATACAAATTTCCAGCTCTTGCTCTCTCCTCTTCTTCTCTACAATCCGTCTTTATGGCGGGTGCGGCACGCATCAGCTCTACCTTCCCCGGTTGCTCCTTGTCTATCGCTACTGTGAAACTTATCCTCGACAAGTTGAGCGTCAGGCCGGTGCCAGAACCTTCAATCGAAAAGGACGTCTTAGTACCCTTTGTCTCTTTCCTGTTCCTCACGGAGCCCTCTCTCTTTCTGGATGTGCAAGTCTGGAGGGGAGAGGACGGGGGAGGGGACGGGGCGGTGGTCCGTACATACTTTGTATCATGGATGTCATCCGTTGGATCAACCATGGCGGTTGGGCTGGGCTGATGCTTCAAACTCTCACACTCGCTGCCTGTCTCTCCCACCTCGCCGCTCTACTCTGATGATGCTGCGGAGGCCGAGGTGCTCACATCGCAGACTATACTTCCCGAGGTGGTCCATCACGTTCACGGCGTTGTACCGATAGCAAGGCAGCCAAATCGAGGCAGCAGTCGTGAGGGGTTGCATGTATTAAACTATAGCCTACTTCCCTGCCACTCAATCCACTACATCCTCCGCAAAGTCGCGCCGACAAGATACCATCCGCCTCTCCATCCCCCGCCTACTGCATGCCCGATGCCATCTGGCTCAGCCTCTCTGCGTACTCTGGGTAATTCTTCAAGAATGCCTGCTGTGCCCGACTGGCGTGTTCATCTGGACATATCAGCCCCTATCCCCCTCTTAACCTCAATTCACTGAGAAGACACGTACAAGTAATAGCATTGATCAGCTCCCCTTCTGTCCTCGACAGCTTCGCACTCCTCTCGAACCACGGGATCGCCTCATCGATCCGTCCCTGCTGCAGCGAAAGCTGGGCGAGCGTCGCCACAGCCACGTCGCAGTCCGGGTCAATCTCCAGTGCCTCCTTGCACAATGCCTCAGCCTGTCCGACGTCCTGCTTCCACTGGAAGATGGCGAGGGATTTGTTGACGAGCGGAAGGACATTCCGGGGGTGACTATACGTCAGCTCCGCTCCTTTACCTTCCAGTTGTATAAACGAGCTAACTTACCGGTTCTTGTCCAGCTCAAGGGACTTGTCGAACCGCTCTACTGACTCTGAGAACTTTTGCTGGTCAAGCAACAACTCTCCGCTGATTGCATCAGCTGGTATTCCCGGGCGTAAGGACGTCACAGCTCACTAGTAATTGCTTGGCTCTCCCCTATCCGGGAAGTTCTTCAAGATCCTCCTGAACGCAGCCATACTCGGCCCGACCTGACCCAGCTTGTACTGCGCTACTGCAGCCTGAACGTGCGTAAAGATGAACCCGCCGTCGAGTTCTGTCGACTTGTTGTAGTCCGCAATCGCCTTTTCGAACTCTTGCATGATAAAGTAGACTGAGGATGTCAGCTCGGGCCGCCCGCGGCGCGATCCGCAAATGCTAAGCCAGCTCACCTTGTCCTCGGTGGTAGTAGATGTCGGGGTCCTCAGAGTTGTGGCGGATTGCGGCCTCAAAGTCGCCGAATGCACTTGCGGCATCACCTGTTCTCTCAGCTAATCTCCTCTCCGCGCTTTGCCTGATAGCGATGCTTACCCAGCTCCATATGTACGCTCGCAATCTTGACCCAGGCCTGGACAAAGTTAGGTACAAGGTCCAGCGCCTTCTCGAGGTCCGCCTTGGCGCCCTGCGAATCACCGATCAGGAATCTATTCTGTTAGCTCGGGCCTCGGTATATAAGACTCCTGGGTTCCAGAGCTCACTTGAAGGTGCCGCGCATGTTGTGAGCCTCGGCCTGTCCCTCCTTCGTGCTGATCCCCTGCTCAATCGCCTCTCCGACAAACGAGACAGCATGGTTATAGTCGGCCGCTCCGAGCGCATCAAACGCCAGCGCGAGGGTCTGGTCGCCTTGTGATGGGTTCTCGGGGAGAGTAGGCTTGTCATCTGGGCTGTCAGCTTTCTGGTGCTTGAAACAAACAAGGCATCTGGTTAGCGGACGTACGAGGTCGGAAAGCGGCAAGATAGCTCGAGATGAATGTAGGACTGGGCAATTTCGGTTCCCGCGTCTCCAAGATCTCCTTGGCCTTCTTGGACGCCAGCTTCTTCAGGCATCGCTCGACCGACTGCGCGGCTTGCTCGTCCTGGAATCGCTCGATGATGGTGGTAGCAGTAAAGTCTAAAGGGTCAACTATGTGCCCGTTCCACGCGTCGCGATGAGGGATGCAGCTCACCTCGTACAGCCTCCTCATCTCGGCCAAGAGCCTCGAGAGCAGTCGCCCGGCGCTTCAAAGCCTTCACACTGAGATCGTCAGTTCCGGGATCAGTACAAAGAGTCCTTGGTAGCGTGACTGACTAGTTGTGGTCGAGCTTCAACGCCTCGTCGCAGTCGGCGACGCACCTATCGTACTCGGCGGGGCTGAAGTTGGTGTAGCCTAAAAGATCAGTCGATATCAGGTACAAAAGGGCAGTCTGAGGACATACAGGCTGCTCGGTTCGAATAGAAGACCGCGTCTTTCTTTATCGACACTTCGATGGCTTTTGTGTAGCTGAAGGGTCAGCACCACTACAGAGTCACGGAGACTTGGCGTCAAAGACTGCGGACGTACCACTCGACAGCCTTCCTAAAGTCCTTCTTCGAGTACAACTTGTTTCCCCTATCTTTAAGCGTCGCGCCAAGATCATTCCGCTCCTTTTCAGACAGATCCTTTAGCATGGCAGCACTAGGTACGCCTACATGTCAGCGCTGAATTCCCTCTCTTTCATCCGCCGAATATGAAGGTGACACCCAGAAGCCTAAAGAAGGCGAACATACCTTCCAGATGTTCCGGTACCGTATCCTTCTTCTCCTGCACCTTCTCCTTCGGTGCAATCTCCTCCAACAGCGGTCCATCATCCCCTTCACCCTTCAAGAACCCATCCTTCGCCCCTCCACCCGCCTTCTTGCTCTTCTTCTTCTTGTTCTTCTTGGATCCCCCGGCTCCGTTCGTCCCCGATTCGCCCTCCGACCCGCTGCCCGCTGCAGCCCCCGAGGGACCCCTTGGCTTTCGTGCAGGCGGACGGTTGTACAAGAGGTACCCTGCTCCACCGACGACAGCGACTGCCGCGCCAAGGATGAGCATTCGCTGGTTCTCTTCGATCCATCGTTGGGTGCGGGTGAGGAGGGCGGAGGGGGCTGTAGGCGGGAGAGTGGCCACGTTTCCGGGAGTGGCGGGGAGGGAGCCGAGAGCTGTAGGACCTCTTTGGGGGAGAGCTGCGGGTGCCATTTTAGTAGTGTTCTAAGAAAGAGATATGATATGTAGAGAAGAGATGCACATCGCAGAGGTCGTTATGTTGCCGGCGAGAACGAGTTCGATGACGTTCTTCTCGTCCGAATTTTGAGCGGCGACCGCCGGGATAAGGCATGTGGAGAGGTCAGTAGCTGAGAGTGGCTACTGCTGCTCGGAGCGGACAACGCACTGGAAGCTGAGACCAGAACAAGTGGAAGCCGCAGTCCATACATAGAGGAAAACATGAGGGAGTCCGCTAACTAAGTCTATAACATAGAGGGAACGAACATAGTCTGAGAGAAGTACATAAAGCAAACGGGGAAGCGCAGGACGGAAGTGGCGCATCGCAGAGCGAGAGCAGAGCGAGCGAAAGCAAGGCAGACTATTCTGAACGAAGGGAGCAGGAGTAATTAGGAGCGAAAGAAGAGATCGAAACACCGTACAAAGCCTCCCCATCCAGTTCCTCCTCTACCTCCCCCTTCTCCCCCTGCCTGACACGCCCCCGCCTGAGAGTCTCCACCGCCTCCGCTCGCCCCCTGCCTGAGCATGTCGGCCCCGCCTCCTCTTCTCGCCCCGGCTGAGGCAGCTCACGGCGTCTCGTCGTCCGAGCCCGTCGAGATATTCTCGTACCGCTTCTTCCGAGTATACTTTGTCCCAGCTGCCATCGGCGCGGGGTCCCTCGGCGGGGGACGCAGGGACTGAGACGCCTCGTCCGAGCTCACCTGCGTTTCGCCCGCAGCCGAGAGTGGCGGGACCGAGCTAGGGATAGTAGCCTGCGATGCACCCGGATGATATCCGGTCGAGTTGAGCGAGTCGCTCTCGCTCGGTGACTGGTCCTGAGCGCCCGACGGGCCCGAGGTGGCATTGGCTGCGGCATTGTCGATGAGCTCCTGCTTGACCGCTCTGGAGATGGTACGCGTCCGCTTGCTCGGGGACGCCGAACTGCCCTTGGAAGACCCCTGAGAGTCGGACTTGTAGATAGGGTTGTCGTCGGCAGTGCTTTTCGCTTGGATCCGCTCTGAACGCTTGAAGCCGCCCGTGATGATGAATTCCGGGGAGGAGTCCGAGTCGAGCCGCATGATCTGACGGTTGTGTCGGCGAGGAGCAGAAGCGCCGGCGGGCAGATCGGGGCCGACGGCGGCAGCGGATGAGGCGGGGACCGAGGATTTGGCGGGTGAGGTGGATTTAGACGAGGGGCGGGACGTACTGCCTGAGGCGGCAGCCGTAGCCGGAGCTGCAGCCGCCGCCATAGGAGGAGCCACGGCAGGAGTAGTCGACTTGGCAACGGACGTGCGCGTCCTGACCCGCCTCTTTGCCGCTGGAGCCGGAGTCGCCGTGTCTGGCCCGCTTGCAGCTCGTTTGCCCTTCCCCTTCGGCCCTACCCCAGCCTGCTTCACACCAAGACCCCCTGGACCATCAAAGAGGTCATCATACCCGTCGACATCTTCCGCCTCCTCCGCTTCGACGCTGACGCCCATACTGCTCGCTACAGCGGGAGAGGAGGGTACATATGGCCGGACGCTGGACGTGGCGCGGATACTGCCAAAGACGTCAGATGGGCCAGCGGCGGTATTGATGCGGAACTGTCCGCCTTGGAAGCTAACGCTAGCGGGAGGGTTCGCCGGGTTGGAGGTCGCGCCGACGAGTGAGGTTGCAGACCCGACGAGGGTGGTCTCTGAGCCGATGCCGGTGGTGGTAGAGCCAACGAGGGTAGCGGTGGAGGCGATGAGGGTGGAGGAAGTAGAGGGCTGGATGGTGATGGATGAGCCGCCAGTGAAGAGTGGCTGGAGGAGAGGTCGACCATGGGTGGTGATGGAGCGAGTACGAGGTCGGGCGTTCGAGACAGGCGTAGGGTAGTCTTGCGTTTGCGTCTGAGAATGTGTATGAGTCTGACTCATCTCCGTCTCCGTGAGCTGGAGCTGGGAGTCCGAGTCGGCGTGCTCGTGCGGCGGGTCTGGGGTGGGCGCGAGGGGAGGGGATGACGGAGGCATCTGGATCTGGGGAGGCGCATGGGCTTGACGTCGAGGCGAAGCGACCTTGCTGTGCTGCACCTGGGGAGGTGCGGGCCGTAGGACCAGACGCGGGGTGACGGTAGGCGCCCGGAAGCGGTCCCAGTCCCAGGCGGTCACTGGATGCTCCGCTGGCTTCTTGGCGGGAGAAGAGACAGGCATATCGCGCAGGACAGCGTCCTTGACCCGAGCCACGAGGTCCTCCGTGTCCAGCGCAGGAGGCGCTGGGGCCGCCGCCGGTACAGCACTCTGCTGCTGCTGGAGCAGAGCCTTGATGGCCGAGAGGTCGCCCGATAGCGTCTCGACCTGGGTCCGGAGGTGGTGAACCTCACTGGACAGCTGAGGGGGCTCAGTAGCTTGCGGAGGAGGAGGCTGCTGAAGCCGACGCGGAAGGTCGTCCAGTCCTCTCGCGAGCTGGATGATCGCTTCCAGTACTCCACTGTCCGCCGGATTGGCTTGGACGTTGGCGACGTGTTGTCCGAGCTGCTGATTGAGGGAGTCGATGCTGGTCTGAATTGCGCTTAGGAGGGTGCTGTCGACCGGGGCCGGCTGCTCGGGCTGGCGAGGGGCCGAAGACGGTCCAGGTCCAGCCTGAACCATAGCCGATACGACGTCCATCGACTGCCTGTAGATCGCCACGTCCCGTAGAGCGTCCGGAAGGTCTTGACACCCCTTGAGGAAGTCGCTGATGTGGGAGACGGAGTCGAGCTTGGAGATGAGGTGGTCGATTAGCTTGACGACCGGCTGATGAGTCAGCTGATGTAGCCCCACAAACAGAGTAGAATTTACCAGCTTACCTTCTCTTGACTATCCTCCTGCGATCGCTGACTCGCTTCCACCTGCTTGAACTCCGTCATGATATTCCGTATCTTCTCGGCAACGAGCTTGGCCGTGTCTTCGGGCAGGGGCGAGACCTGCTCCTCCAGCTTGACGTGAAGATTTAGGAAGAACTCGTGTAGAGCGGGCGATACTTGTATGTCAGCTTTCAGTGTTACCCGGACAGCATATGTGTAAACCTTACGTTGCGATGTGATCTCCTCAACCACCTCCTCCCTCGTCGCCAAGGCCGCCTGGCCCATTCGCACCTCGTGGACCTGGTCCCGGATCTGCTTGTGATCCTTCTTGACCTCGGCGAGCATATCGAGTATCTTTGTCGACCATTCTGAAGATCAGTATCAAGATTCAGGCAGAAAGAGGAGAGAAAGAGAATCAAGGGCGAGAGAGAGGAGAAGGAGAACTCACCAGACACAGCAACCATGATCTTCTCGCTGGTCGTCTTTCCCCCAGCCCCTCCCTGCTGAGTCGAAGCCAGGAAGAGACCCGCCGCCCCTCTGCCGCCCGGCGCCGCTGTAGTCCTTCCTCCCTGCGTACTCATGCTCATCGAGGTGGATGGCCTGCCCATGACGCTAGCGGACCTCCCCGCTCCTCCGTCCTGCCCGTATCCTCCGCCCTGTCCATATCCTCCGCCCTGACCATACTCTTCCATACTCCATGGGTTCTCCCGCCGTTGCGATTGGGTCGGCTGCATAACCGGCATTGACTCCTGAGGGCGATACGTATCCACGAGGCTGCCGTTCCTCGCAAGAGCCCTGTTTCCTTCCTGCGCCTGCGACCGGGTCTCGGGGACGAGCGACTCGCGAGGTCGAGGTTGGCGCGATGGAGGGGGAACGGCGGTAAGAGGGGAGAAGTTGCCCGAGAAGCTCTGGAGGACAGAGTGGTCGGAGAGCTGACGAGGAGGGAAGCCAGTCTCGGGAACGAGAATCCCGCTGGACTGGGCTTGAGTTGGGGACTGGGAAGGAGGTTGAGTGAAGAGCTGAGAGACCGATGCTGCCGCTGCAGGGGAGCGTCGAGGTTGCGCGGACGATGGCTGGGTGTAGGACTCGTACTCTGCTTCCTCCTCCTCTTCCTGGGTCTCCTTCCTACCGCTCCGTCCTGGAGTGGAAGGAGGAAGGAAGGCGTGGTTTCGGTCGTTTCCGCCGGAGTGGACGTTGTTGGACGCGCTAGAAGGGCGGAAGGGAGAGGTCTGGTACATGCTTGTGAGAGAGGGGAGGAGGGGCATAGGGCGAGGGTGCTGGAGGTTTGGCCGTTGTGGGGAGGAAGACCGGTTGGGGAGGGGCATGGGTCCGGATTTGAGGGGAGAGGAGGAGTCTGCGCGGCGAGAGGGAGGTGGGGGAGGGCGCATCATCGTGGGGAAGGGTAATGTGGACTAGTAATGGATTGAAGGAACGATTGATCTGAGTAGTCAATCAAGGAAGAAGGAGGAAGGAAAGAGAAAAGAGAGTGAAAGAGGGAAGGCCCCTGATTTCGGTTGTTCGGTCAGATAATTAGTGCGCTCGGACCCACACACACAGGGGTCGTAATTAGTAAGTATCAGAGGGGAACAAGTCAGGCGCGTACTACAAGAACAGGCGTCTCAGATCCGGAGGTGGACTGTGTGTATCGAGTTGAGTGAAGGTCTACTCTGCCCTTGACACCCGCCCGACGCCTCGCACACCAGCTTCATTCCACCGCAGAGCAAGTGGATACTCGGCGAGCTGGGACATGTAAGTGCCATGAGCCTCTCTGTTGATGTCAAGCGGTCTCCAGCGGTAGGTTCCCTGCAGCGATTTGCTGGAGCAAGAGATGGGAGAGGGAGGTGGACCTCATCGACCTCCTCGAGACCTCCTCGGTGCCTCCACTTTGTCTCCGCCGTTCTCGGAGCTCGGGACCAAACGGCGAGGAGGGTTTACCGGAATCAAGGAATGTATGACGTCAGTATGGCTCGGAGGATTCTGCTTGGCCCGCTTCGGCTGACGGTGGAGGCACGGAGCGGCACGTCCATAGGACAAAGTAAGCCGCTACCTCCACTCTTCCCTCTCGATATATAGCCTAGCCATCGGCCACATCTATCATCCCCCTCTATACACCCAAGCAATACATACACAGAGATGCAGTTCGTCGTCAACAAGATTCAGGATTCCATGGGCCCGGTGGACGGTTCGTTCATCTCTTCCCTCTGCCCTTCAGACCCCGACCTTTTGTCTCTCAGCGCGGGCACCGGGTCCATGAGCTGATCTATAGTCGCCGCCAACCCCGAGTGGAAGCACCGCCCCGGAAACGAGACCATGCGCGCTCTCGCCTGGTTCGGCAACAAGGATGTTAGGATGGTCGACTCGCCCATCCCCGATATCTCGGAGGACAAGGACGTGATCATCAAGGTTACCGGTACTACCATCTGCGGTAGTGACTTGCACCTTTACCACTCGGAGATGCTTGCACTCCAGAAGGGCGACATCCTCGGCCACGAGTTCATGTGAGTCCTTGTCCGAAACGATGTTTCACCCGATTTGAGGAATGAGGATTTTCGCATTTTTGGTGCTGACTACCGCAGGGGTGTCGTCGACCGTATCGGCCCTTCGGTTACCACTCTCGCTGTAGGCGACAGGGTCGTTGCGTCCTTCCAGATCGCATGCGGGACCTGCAAGTTTTGTCAGAAGAAGCTCTCTTCGATGTGCGACCGGACCAACAACTCTAGCTTGATGGCTAGTATGGTGAGTCCGCCTCGCAGCCCATGGTATACCTATGGGCTCTAGCTAACATACATCTAGTATGGACAGCGAATGGCCGGCTTCTTCGGTTTGTCCTCTGATCCCTGATCTTCCCGCACAAAAAATGATCACTTGGGGGAAAAAGTGGAACTTTGAGATTCCTCCTCCCCCTCCGACCCCACTGTCTACCGAGCTATCTCTGCAACGGACATTGAGCTTACCAGGGCCAGGCTACGGGCACCTCTGCGGGGGTCTGTCAGGCGGACAGAGCGAGTACGTCCGCGTCCCGTTCGGCGAGGTCAACCTCTTGAAGTGCCCCAAGGAGTTGTCAGGTGAGTTTTCTAAAAAATCGCGAGAGTCGGAGCAAATCCTGACTCTTTACAGACGAACAAGTTCTTTGTGCGTAATTCGACTCCGACTCCACACCCCCAGCTGACGTCTAGTCCTCTCGGATGTTCTCCCGACTTCATACCACTCGATCGTCGACACCAAGGTCGAAGACGGCGATGTGGTCGGTATTTGGGGGATGGGCCCTATTGGTGTACGTAATGTCTCGCTTTACATTTGGCTGTAGCTGACATGACAGCAATGCGCCGCTCGCTGGGCCATCCTCAAGGGCGCCAAGAAGGTGTATGTGATCGATGCGGTCCCCGCTCGTCTCACCCTTGCTCAGGCTGCTGGCGACAAGATCATCCCTGTCAACTTCAAGGAGGTGGACGTGATGAAGCATATCCACGAGCTTGAGCCTCAGGGTCTTGACGGTAGGCCATTCCAACTCAAGCATGGCCCCCGCTGATCACCAGTCTGCATCGACTGCACAACCTTCCACGAGCCCAAGACCCTCCTCCACAAGGTCGAAAAGGCGCTCATGCTCGAGACGGATGTCTCCGAGACGCCCAACGAGATGATCTTCCTTGTCCGCAAGATGGGCCGGATCGGTCTCATCGGTGTCTATGCTGGCTACACCAACCACTTTGCCATCGGCTCGCTCATGGAGAAGGGCGTGCGGTTCATTGGGAATGGGCAGGCGCCGGTCCACCTCTACTGGGAGGAGATCCTTCACGACTACATTCTTACCGGCAAGTTTGACCCGACGTTCATGATCACCCACCGAGTGGATATCGAGGACTTCCCCAAGGTAAGCTAAGATCTTGGCGAGAAGGGGGCTCAGATGACGATCAGCTCTACGAGAAGTTTGATCAGCGATATGCTGGGGTCAACAAGGTCTTTGTGCAGACCAAGGCCAGGTGAGCTATGCGTATATCACCGTAGGCGGAGGCAGAGCTGACCCATAGCTCCCCGCCCGGCAAGAATTGCCCGCAGCTCACCAAGGTGGACGACTGGGCGAATGTCCAGATCTAAGCTTGACAGTGACGGTATCGGGTTCAGTCGGTCAGGATAAGTAGAAGTCAAAGTATTGCAGCCAGTCATGTATCTTTCAAAGCTCGTTGTGAGCAGCGTGGTGTGTTCTGTGCCTCAATGGCTCAATGTGCTGAGGAGGCAGCTTTGATCCGCTCTGCAGCTCTGCAGTGCAGAATCCAGGACGCGACCGAATGACGTCATTTGTTGACTTTGCGATCAAACTGATCAGACAAATGCGACAGATCGGCGGATGGAGAAGGTGTTGGTTCTCACTTAGCATCATCAAGCTCGCCTCATACCACTCCAACCAGTCCTACACGCCCACATCAGCACGCAAATACCGCTCTGCGCATCATATGCGCCTGAAGCTACTACCAGCGCTCCTCCGAACCGCACCCACCGCACGCCGCATGCCCCAGCTCACCCTCTCCTTCGACACACCCTCCAAATCCCTCGGTCTATCCCCTTCCAAGCCCACTACCTCTGGGCACAAACGCACCGCCTCGTCGTCCTCCGGTAACGCCGCCGCAGCGTACTACAAGTCCGGCCCCAATAACCTCTGGAAGGCGCACCACGACGAGGAGAATCTCGCGGCTGCTCAGATGACAAGACGGAAAGCGGAGGAAAAGGGGGAAGGGGTGCATATGCACGATGCGCCCGAAGACGGGGAGGGGAGGGCAAAGGGGCAGCCGGGAAAGAGGGGGAGGAGCCCGGATGGGGATGGAGGCGTTGCGGGGAGGGATGCGAAGAAGTCAAAGAACGCTTATGAGATTAGTGGGTTTCGGCCATGTTGATGTGGGATGGAGATCGGACGACGAGCTGATCAGAGCAGAGGGGAAAGTAGCCACTTCCGAAGATGCAGCGAGGGTCGATGCCAACCCGCCTCTCGACCAACTGATGAAGCTGCAACAGCAGCCGAAGGACAAGGTTGTCAAGGGCGAATCCGTCGTCTACTGGATGCGTATGGAGGACATGCGACGTAAGCTATCTTTATTGGAGTTCGTCTGGTGCAGATGGTCCAAGAGAAAGGAGCTGACATTGCAGTCGAGGACAACACAGCTCTCGCGCAGGCCTCGCAGAAAGCGCAGGAGATGGGCGTACCGCTCGTTTGGCTCTTTGTGCTCTCGCCCGGCGACTACAAGATGCACGATCGCTCACCCAAGCGGATCGACTTTATGCTCCGCAACCTGCGGTATCTGAGAGTGCGTCCCCTACCCCTCCTCTTAGTTCCCGAGCCCCTCCTCAGCTTGAAGTTGACCCTCAGCCTCGATTCGACAAGCTCAACATTCCCCTGCACATCGTTTCTTTCGATAAACGCCTATCCATTCCCCGTCGGCTGGTTACCGAGGTCTTCCCATCTTTGGGAGCCAACCACGTATTCTGTAACCTTGAATACGAAGTCGACGAGCTTCGGCGGGATATCGCCACTGTCAAGCTGGGGCGGGAGAACGGAGTGGATGTCGTCGCGGTACATGACCGGCTGGTCGTCCCGCCTGGTAGAATCCTCAGTAAGGTTGGGAAACCGATGAGCGTCTTTTCCCCATGGCAGCGACGTGAGTTTCTTCGTCTTCGGTCGTTTGATAGACCGGCGAGCTGATATGGTAGAATGGGCCAAGATTGTGGACGATGAGCCTGATCTCCTCGAGATCTCGCCTGACCCTAAGCCGAATGACGCCGGCGTACGACAGCACGAGAAGCTCGGAAAGCTTTTCGATGCATCAGATATACCGGACCACCTCGAGGGATTCGAGGTCGAGGATGCTGAGCAGCTGAAGGTGTCCTGGCCGGAAGGTATCGACAAGGCTCGAGAGGTACTTCTTTCCTCTCTCCCACTCTCGTCTAGGCATTCTGCTGATCTCAACAGCTGCTCGACCGATTCCTACACACTAAACCCCGAAAACAACTCCTCAAGCTTGTCGACCCACTTTTGGACGGCGCGGAGAAGGACGAAAAGCTCTCCCGGGTGCAGCAGTACGGGACCGGCCGGAACCTCGTGGACGGAGACAATAGCTCTCGGCTCAGTCCATACCTCACTTCGGGGGTCATTAGTGCGCGGATGGTACTGCGGGAGGCCAAGAAGATGGGGAAGGGGGGCAAGTTGGAAAGTGGGCGTGATACGGGGTTGGGGATGTGGGCACAAGAAGTGAGTTGTAAAGTCCGTGGGATTGAGCGGGACATCAGCTGATAAATACAGGTCAGGCAAGTTGCAAATCAGGTTTTGCTCGGAAAGGCATCTCGTGGCTAGGGCGATAGCTGACGCACCAGCTGGAGAGACTTCTACAACCATATCATGTGTACCTGGCCCCGTGTATCGATGGGAAGGCCGTTTTTGGAGAAATTTGCAGACGTTCAGTGGCAGGTTTCCGAGCCACACCTTCAAGCGTGGAAGGACGGGATGACTGGCTATCCTATTGTCGACGCCGCTATGAGGGCATGTAAAGCGCGAGGTCAGTGCTGTCCCGCAAGAAGCTGTGAATCTGGGTATGGGCAGAGCTGATCAGGCAGGCTGGATGGAGAATCGGGTCCGGATGGTGACTGCCAGTTTCCTTGTAAAGGAGTTAATGCTTGACTGGCGTGAGTTCCAGCGCACCAGGTCGCAAAGAAGGGGCCGTGAGCTGATCCTGTAGGTCTGGGAGAGAAGTACTTCATGGAGAGCTTTGTCGATGGTGATCTTGCCGCGAACAATGGCGGATGGCAGTGGGTGGCAAGTGTAAGTTTCGAGTTGCGGAATGACCAGCGCACCAAGCTGACACCTTCAGACTGGAACAGATCCCCAACCGTACTTCGTGAGCCGCCATCCCCTTCTACCCTGTCCGAGAACTGAGCTCACCCGTCAGCGCATCTTCAACATGCTCTCCCAATCCGAGAAATGCGACCCCAACGGCGACTATATCCGATACTGGGTCCCCGAGCTCCGAAATCTCAAGGGCAAAGCGATCCATGATCCGCATGGCAAGATGCCCAGTGCGGAGTTCAAGAAGCTGGGATATCCCGCGCCAATTGTGGAACACAAGTTTGCGAGGGAGAGGGCTTTGTTTAGGTATAAGAATCCAGGAGAGAAGGAGCCGGGGAGCGAATGAGCGTGTAGCTTTAGTGGTGCGTTGTGCCAGAATTGGATGCACCATCTGTTCCTGTTGGTCCATGGGTCAAGCGCATCAGCTTCAGCGCTTCAGTACCAATTACGAGCGGGGAGTGGAGATTCTGTCGGTCATGTACGTGGCTGTGACTGAAGTAGCAGCGGCTCAGTAAGAGCTTCGATAAGGCGTTATGCGTAGACAAGTGCATGGTGTTTGCATGAGCATAAAGTATCCTAGGTCCCAAACCCCAACATGATCTGTCCAAGCTACTCGGGAAATTATACTTGACCCCCTACTGTACCTCGCTGACATCCACGCATGCCTGCAGCAAATACCCCAGATATCCCTCCGAGACCGCCATCCCCACAGTCCGCCTCGCCACTTCCGTCAAGCTGACCTCACTATGATGTCAGCTAGAACTCCCGCCAATTAGAAGCGATCAGCTCACTCGGCGGTTCCATACACGCTCTTCACCGTGACATCCACCTCACCCACGCACTCCGGCCACCGCATGATCGTGGCGATATCAAACGACGCAACAAGCTGGACCTTGCTCCTGCTAGCGGGGAACATGAGGGTTGTCGATGATTGAAACCGAATATCGGTAGGATCGGCGGGGGACGAGGTGGATGTGAAGACGGTAGGGTATTGGACGTGGACGAGGCGGAGTTCTTGTCGGATCCGTTGGGCCGCAGACCAGAGTTGACCGACACGCTGTATGAACTTATATATCAGCTACCGGTTCTAGGACATCCCGAGCGTCACTTCGAACTACAAAGCTGATGCGAGATAGACATACCGTGCTGATGTGTTGCCCCTCGACACCGGCCAGCATACCCACAGCCCCCTCAAACAGCCTAAACAGCCCAATTGTCGGGCTCTCCCCTCGCCCCTTCCACGCATACCCGACCGCCCTGCCCACTTTGGCCCCTTCGTCCAGCGGAAGCCGGGTGATTCGAGCTGTGGAGATGTCAGGCAGGGAGTCGACACAGGCCATGCTGAGCTGAATTTCTGCGTCGTATGTAAGGCTGAGGGAGGTAGGGGTCATAAGAGTCGGCCGCCATAGGTGGAGGGACTGGAGGGATTTGTATTCGTCTGTATGGGTCAGTTGATGTCTTCTCGGAACGTCGACGAAGGCGCGCAAAACTGACCTTGAAGACGAAGCACATCACCCTTGGTGAATTGATCACACATCCCCTTGGCGATCGTGATAGCACCCACGGCCTCGGTCCGCCGCGCGTGCAGATCCGCAAGATTGAGCTCGAGCTTTTCGAGGTGTGTAGCCGACTCGGACAGCTCGGACGAAAGCACCTTGATCTGAGCACTACAGGACGTGAGCTTTCACCCCGATGTAATTGTCCAAGTCCACTTGCCCTTGCTCGCTGATCGCCTCCCGCAACTCCTTCAGCTCATCCTGATCACATCCCGCCAGCTCCGCTACTGCCTCTCGTTCCCTCTGCAGCTCTTCTGCCAGCGCAGCCTGCCTCGCTCGGAGTTCAGGCAAGAGCCCACTGCTCTGACCTTCCATTTCGTCCAGCCTCGCTTTATCCTATCTCGTCAGCTTCCCCTCTTCCCCTTCCTCAGGTGGGTACTCACCTCCCGCATCGCCTCCAACACCTCCTCCACATCCGGCCGCACCCTAGCCATCAAATCCATCTTCCAATCATACCACCGTTCCCGAGCCCTCAGCTGCGTATTCGTCTTGAACGCCTTGAAGGTCATCTCGAATATCTTCTTCTCGTCGTCTCCTGCAGAGAGGTATTCCCGGATGACGGGCGGGTTGTGCACCGAGCAGTCCGTCTCGGTCTGAGCGAGCGCCGCAGCTGAATCGGTGATGTCGGCCTTCATTCGGTTGGCGGCCTAGAGGTCAGCTCACTCCGTAGTTCGAGATAAGTGGGAGGGGGAACGTACCCAGTTGTACATGTTCAACAAGACATTGTTGACTTGGGCGGCGGTATAGTCGTGTAGCGCGAACTCTCGGTCTCCTATCACTCAGCGATATGTCCTTTCTCATATGGTAGAAATGACTCACCCTCACCGCCTCTTCCAAGCACGCCCTTGCCCACACTACTGCGCCTCCGCCCAGCTGGCAGAGCCTCGATAAACTGCACTCCCGCCATTTCGAGGAATGACCCCAAGGTGATAGTCGGCGGCTCGAACTCGGCGTCATCGACCTCCTCCGCCCCCAATCCAGCATCGACATCCTCCTCCTCATCCACCTCCGTATGACCGAGCATCCGGCGGAGCATGGGCGATTTGGCGGGTGACTTGCTGGGCATACCGGACGAGCGGAACGACGGCGCCGATAGGGATTTCCGAGGCGTCCCCATCTCTCTTCTCGGCTGCGGCGCTGGCTCTTGCTGGTGGTAGACCTCCCGTTCCACCTGAACGTCCATCTCCACCTGTACCTCCACGTGCTGTACTGTGACCAGCTCCTCCGTGAACACATTCTCGTTCAACACCACTCTCTTCTTGCTCGGACTCATGCCCAGCCCATCCTCACCGACCGACGCCGACCGAGCGCGCTTCCTGCTCCCCGATCCCGACGCACTAGCATTCGAGCCAAAGCTGAGCCGCTTGGCGACCTCTCCGGCAGTCTCCATCCCGCTCTTCCGTGGCGTCGCCGCTTTGGCGGGCGAAGGGGACGGTCCAAAGATATTCCGCTTGGTCTTGGTAGCCGAAGCGACGGTCGGACGGGCAAACGAGGGCGTACCTGCCGAAGGGCGCGTGATGGGCCGGAAAGGCGAGCTGGACATGGACGCCCGAGGCCCAGCGTGCAGGGTAGCATCCCGACCCATGACTCCGCCTATCGCGACAGTCATGTCCATCCTTTCGTCCTCTTCCTCCTGAAGCGCTCCGCCGACGGGAGTGAAAGAGAAAGTCATAGTCCTCTCCCTGTTCGCGATGGTGTCGTTCCCCGCGCTCGAGGCGGTTGACATTGTATCGTCTGCGCCGATGATCCCGCCGATAGCAATCGTCTCCTCCATCGCCATCTCGTCCTCTTCGCCTTGTTGACCCGGACGAGACCGTAACGACGGAACCGAGCCCATTTCAGGGGACTGGGGCGCGGCATATCCGATAGATGCGCGGAGGTTGGCAGCGCCTTCGATGGGCGGAGAGTGAGGCATGAGCCCTCCGACCGCGATGGTGAAGTCGACCGTTTGGTCCTCTCCTCCAGTGGAGATGAGCGAATCCCCCTCCGACGCCTCGCTGGCAGCCATAGACGTCCGCCGGTCCATAATTCCCCCGTATACCACCTGTGTCACCTCCATATCCATCTCTCCCTCCGCATCGCTATCCTCATCCCCTGGCTGCGCCTCCTCGACATGCTGCACCTGCGCGAGCGATGGTCCGCCGAGGACGAATTGGGCTCCTTGCCCAGAGTATCGCCGTGATCCGTCCGCGTTGGAGCCGAGGACCGCGCCGTCCTCGTCCGAGCTGTCCGATTGTTCCGAGGCTGTGTCGTCCATATCCATGGACGCTTCGCCTTCTTCCTCGCCTTCAGCGACGAAGCGAGGGCCGGCTTGGATGGAACCGACGTTCTGGATACTGGAGCGGCGAGAGTGAGCGGGGGCGCGGGCGGCGGGGAGGGACTGGCGTTTGTTGGAAGGGGATTTCGGGGTAGGCTTTTCAAACATTCTGCAAAGTCAGCTTTCGTACATGCTGCTACAGCTTACAGCAACAGAAAGCTTACCGGACATATGCTTTAGAGGCAAAGCTAACCCGCCGGGATAAGCTGCCCATGGCGATAGTATGCTCTGCGCGATTATTGAGCCCGGTCGTAAAGTCGGTGGTGTCATCTTCTCGAGCGAAGATATTGGTCTTGAGAATGGATTTGCGGGGTTGCTGAGATCATCAGCTGCGTACTTGACTGACCCTAAAGCCTTCTCCAGCTGATTGAGCGTTGCTAGACGACATACCATGCTCCGCCTCGCCTTCCTTCTCGGGCTCAACTCCTCCGTGTTCCCCGTAGACAACTGAGAAGAACTGGAAGATGCGAATCCGACCCGTCCTCCTCGTCCGCTAGCAGTAGCTCCTGAAGTCTCCTCGGCCTTCTCTTCCCCGCCCATAGATTGTCGTCGGGATTGGCGTCGCTTCGAGGGACTCATGCTCGCTTCGGCGGAGGAGGGGTTGAGGTTGAGATTTTGGTCTTGCTCGAAAAGGCCTGAAGCGCGAGATGGGGGTCGAGCAGACGACATATTTCCAGCAACTGTCCAGTGGTGCCGCCGGATGCACTTCTGACAACGATCAAGCTATAGGGGATTGTCAAGGTAGATAGTAACAAGGAAGCGAGCAAAGGTTGAGTGGACCGTTTGTTTGTTTACGCTCAGCCGACCACGGGAGTATTCTTGCTTCCGTCGGAAAGTCAGCGGTATGCCGTAAGGCGTTTCAAGTCACGCGTGATCAGCTAATTGAGCGGCAGCTCGCGAAAGCAGCTACTATTCTTTCACTCTATAGCGACCTAGCAGGATGCCAGGATGGGTGAGCTGACTCGTGGATCAACGGTAATCGGAGTTTGAAGCTGACCGGTAAGGTCTGCTCACTATCATTCGCAAGAACAAGGCCAAGTCAAGGGAGATGAGGGTACTGTTCCTGTAAGCTTCACAAGGCAATACACGGGGGACCAGGACACGAGCTGAGCAGGTAGCGGTCTTGATAATGCTGGAAAGACGACTATACTCAAGAAGCTGCGGAGTGAGGATATTTCGACCATCAGCCCAACGTTAGGATTTAACATCAGTACGCTGGTCCGAGACGGGTGAGCTTTCGTGCGCGCTATTGCAAGCGGAGAAGCTAATGCAAGCAGGTACACTCTCAATATATGTGAGCTGAGATGTCCGCGACAGGCTCGCTGGCGTGTATAAGCTGACTATGTCGAAGGGGATGTCGGCGGTCAAAAGACGCTGCGTCCATACTGGCGCAATTACTTTGAATCGACCGACGCGGTCGTTTGGGTCGTCGACTCTGGAGACAGATTACGGATGAGCGACTGCGGGTCCGAATTGAGAGGTCTCCTGGGGGAGGAGGTGAGCAGATTCCAGCTATGGCGTTCCGTGCCGGCTTCGGTGTGCGGTGGCAGCAGCTGATCCCAGTAGAGACTGGCCGGAGCCACCTTGCTTGTATTTGCGAACAAGCAAGACCTGTTCGGTGCCATGTCCCTAGAGGAGATCCGCGATGTGAGCTACGGGATTCTCCCTTCAGGCACCCGCCTGGGAATATAGCTGACATCATAGGCACTCGACCTCCCTTCTATAGTCTCGCATCGATGGATCATCCGCTCCTGCTCCGCATACACCGGGACGGGCCTCGACGAAGGCATGGACTGGCTTGTCAAGGAGGTGGCGGGCAGACTGTACTGGAACGGCCTTTCCGCTGGACCTACTCCAGTCCAGCCCGCGGCCGATGCGGCTCCTGCTAGATTGACAGCAGATGCATGATTTCCAACAGGTTCTATCCGACATGTGGTCAATCTAAATCAACAAGCAGGTCTGCACATACCCGCACTGATCCAACATTTTTAGTTTTCCACCAGATCAACATCCGGCGAATCCCTCATGATCTCCCCAGCCACCCTCCTTCTCAGCTTTTCCAATCTTAGCTCCGGAACCTCCCCATTCCACCGCTCCGCTTTGACTTCGTCCGGTCTCAGCCAGCTGCCTTCTTGTTCTTGACCCGCTCCATGAACCTTTGGAGGTGGCACATAGCCCTGGTCTTCCTCCTTGTCGTCAGAAGAGACAGAGTCGGTGATCGTGCTGAGCCTAGGAAGGCCGATTTGCTCCACCACAAAAGAGGCAGAGACAGTGCCGTACAGTGCGGCCTCGTACGGGTCGCCGGCGGACGCTGCGAGACCAGCGATAAAGCCACCGAGATAAGAGTTACCGCCTGACTGTCAGCTATAGTCCTCGTCCATTCCTTCCTCGTCCATTGAAGCACTGAGGATGACATACCGCCAGTGACGCCCCTGACCCGCCACTCCTCCTCCTCATCCCAGTACGCCGGGACCCACTTGATCCCGCCTTTCCGCGTCCCGACTACCGAGCCAAGGCTGCCGCATCGGACGACGACCGCTCCAGACCCGTCCGAACCGATGCCGAGCTGAAGATTGTGGGTAATGATCTCCTCCAGTGTGGGTCGGAGGAGCGGGGAGGAGAGAGGAAGGAGGGGCCGGTCATACAGTGAAAGCAGCTCTTCGTGATTGGGTCTATATTATCAGCCATCGTGCAAGAAAAGATCAAGGGATGGCGATCTAGAAGGACCAGCAGTGAACTTACGATAAGATCTCCAGATCAGGCAAGATAGACTCCAAGAAGTCTTTCTGGCCAACATGACAGCTCTGCGGCGTCGGCTCATAGACGATCTTTGGCCTCCACGTCCTGCTCCCGCCAACAGAACCCTTTCCAGCAGATGACCCAGCCTCCACCTGCCTTTGCTCAGCCAAGAGCTGGAAGACGTTTTCTGGTGAGTATGGCGGCGAGATGTGAAGGTACTGCGCGCCGTCGATAGGTGTAGAGAGGAGAGAGGAGAATGGCCGTGGAAGGGGAGGGACTAGGTGCTTATATCTGTCTTATCAGCTTGAGTCTGAGCAGCAGATTGAAGACACTTACAGTCTGACGGTACCCTCATATCGTATTCGCGCACGAATCATCCTCCTCCCCTCTCCCTCTTGATATCCCCAACATCCCGGCCCATACCCCTCCAACTCCGCCTCCAGATCCGGCCCCAAATCACTCCTCCCTTCGGCAGTATCAACGAGCGTCCGACACTTATTGGCCGGCAGCCATATCCGGGCGCCTATCAGTGCGTACAGCGCCCCGCCGCCGAGCACCTCGAGCGGCTCATCCTCCGAGTGTGAGGTCGCGCTGCTACTGCACGACGCGAGGGAGAGGGAAGAGGAGGGGTCGGTATCGTCCGAGGAAAAGCTACGTTGAGGTGTGATAGAGCCTGATGCGCCGCCTGAGGGCTTGCCCACGCTCAGGGAGAGGAGGCGGAGGGAGGGGAGTATGTCCGAGGTGGGAGAGGGCGGGCGAGTGGATGTTGGGGTGACGCTGGCGACGTTGGAGCGGGAAACAGGGTCGAAGCAGTCGACAAGGACGGTCCCTGCTTGGTCAGCATGGTCCACAGCGGCCAAAAATTCCACCCGACTGACCTATCGAGGCGAAGATGGGTGCGGAGATGTTCTCTTTCGTACAGAGATCCCTGCCGCCCAGGGGCTCCGTAGCTGCCCGGGAGTTAGATGGTCCAGCTGTAGAGGCACTCATCCTGTCCCTATGCTCCAGTTCCAGTGGCTTTCTCTCCACCCGAAGTCGGTCCACTCTCTTATAGACCTCCAGTTCCGCCAGGGACGCCTCGATACCGCCAGGCAAAGGACTGCCCCACTTTGCTCTGGCTTCAAGGTATCGCTTCTCGCCTTCTCCACTTTGAGCTTCAGCACCACTCAAGCGCCAATCCGGATACAGTGTATCGGGCCGCGGAGCCAAGAGCACCGCGTGCTGTGCGAAACACAATCAGCGCGGGGAGGCCTCGGACGCGTGCGCTTATGAGGCCCTATAGGATAGGTCGGCCGATAGTGCGATGGCGGAGGAACGGGGAGTATGCACGCGGGTCCGAGATCCGGTTGAGCGGATCAGAGGGGGACTGGACTTTGAGTACGGCGGAATGGGGTGGTCCAGCTGCGGCTAGCGGAGGAACAGCGGCGGGAGAAAGGGGAGTCGAGGTTGGTACGGGGCTATATACAGCGGGAGTGGGGCATGGCAACAAAGGGTAGATATCGACAGGGGTGCGGACTGTACAGGAGGTGGCGATGATGGAGAAGGGGGTGGAGTATGGAGGAGCCACGGAGGTAAGCGACAAGGGGTGATCGGGAGATGTGACCCTCCTTTCGGCGGATACACAAAGCACGGACGCGGACGGATGGTCGTCAGGGGTATGTAAGGCCAGGAACCGGGCGAGGTATGTGATGAGATCCGGATCTTCGTCGTTGAGCGTGTAGCGGTGGGTGGGGCTATACACAAGGGAGGAGCGGATGAGGTGAGAGTAGAGATGGTGAAGAGGAATGCGGCTCTTCTCTTTGCCCAACGTAGCCGCCGCAGCACTTGGAGGCAAAGAGAAAACCCCATTAAGCCGAAGAGGAGGTCCGGAGTCCGGAGTGCCATCACCCGATCGGCCGGATCCATTACGTTTGGGTTTTCGCCCCTGAAGTCGCCAGGCACGGAGTAGCACGAGGTCGAGATTGTAACTGTGAGGGGTTGACATCTGGTGGCAAGGATCCGAAACGAGGTCTTGACAGAGGTGAGCATGTGATATGCCAGACAAGGATATGCGGACGTTTCATCGAGCGGATACAGGCCTGCAAGTTTGGGCACGGAGCGTCAAGCGTGGGCAGGTGGACAGACAGCGTGAAAGCAGATCTTGGCGGGTCAAATTTACCCGGTTTCCATCCGAACCAGAGAGGACGAGGCGATGAGTGTTCGAGCCTGAGAGCTTGAGCGGGAGAGCGTTCCCAAGGTGCCCAGGCATTTTGTCGAACTCTACCTCACCTATATGAGTCTTGACCCATCGTACCCATGTGCCTCTGGTCATTTGCATGGGTCAATAGGACTGATGAAAATCTTATCAAGAAAGTCGCTCCTGCATGATTGTCCCCCTACGATGTGAAACGTAGGGACGACATGAGGCCACACCTTGCTGGTCCAGAACTTGCTCACATGTCAGAACACGACCCTATCAAGATGAGGCACAGCCTGAGCACACTACATATACTGTACTCTACGGCCGGGTGGCGTGACAGCGGCGTTACGCCGAGAAGTCGGGCAAGTCTCCGCGCCGAGGTTGCCGGCTGCGCTATCCGTGTGCTCGAGCCTTATCACGCACTCGAAATCTAATTACGCTTGGACCTTCAATGTCAAATTTCCATCCCAGCTTGACTTTGAGCATACACTAATCTCGCAATAATTACTCTCCCTCCTTGCTCTCGATCAGCCACGCATGGCTTGTTCTCATCTCGCAGATTGCCCCGCAAAGTTGAGGCTAGTAGCTTGCTCGACTGTTCGACAGCCCTTGACGACCGGGTTGTTCCAGACTAGCGAAAGGGGGTGGGACCTTTCGGTAGTAAAGCTCGGACCTTCTCCTCGCCGCCTCTGTATCTAGGCTGTCCGCTAGAACGTTTAGAACGGAGCTGTAAGGTACTCTAAGGCGTAACGAGGGTCAGCATACATAGCAAAGAGGCGCAGAGGCACGATCAAGGTACGCTCGCCCTTGTCCTTATACACACACACATCCCCCTCCGCTCCCTTTTGATCCGTCTCCTCCCATCATCCCCCACCATCAATTAATCTTTCAACCCTCAAGCGCTGAGTGTGTGCCTGCGCTATATAACAGGTAGCGGTAACAGTCAGTCAAAGGACCATGTCCCCCTTCTTACCTTCATTTCAACCTCTTCCCATCTATCTCTCCTCCTTATTCTTCCCTTGATCTCAGCTCACAATGGCCAGTATCTTCGGTCTTCGTCCGTCCTCTCTCAACGAGACCTCCTTCAGGATGCGCATGTCCCGCCCCCAGCCCGAGAAGTGGATCACCAAGGACTACTGGCGCCTCGAAACCCCGCCAGCGTCGTACGCAACGCACGATGGGTGGAGTAATGCCGATGTCGATGTCGTTCCCGTCGAGCAGAGGAACTGGAAAGCGTGAGTACAGGCCACAACTCGAGCGCGACCCAGCTGACGTGATGCAGGGTCAACTACCTCTTCCTCTGGTTGTCTGATGGTGCCAACGTTGGAACCATGCAGCAGGCTGCATCCATCGTTGCTCTGGGTCTGAGCTGGAAGGAGGCATCAGCTGCCATGTAAGTCGTCTATTCCACGTCTGCGATCATGCGCTGACCCCCAGTGCCATCGGTAACATCATCATCGCCGGCGCCATCACCCTCAACGGAGCTATCGGTTCTCGCCACCATATCCCCTTCTCCATCGCCTCGCGAGCGAGCATGGGCTTCTACTTTTCCTACTTTGCCGTCGTCTCGCGAATGGTCCTGGGTCTCATCTACTTTGGGTATGTCTACTGCCCTCACGAAGATATCCAAGCTGACCACCAGTATCAACACCTACATCGGCGCCTCTTGCATGCTCATCATGCTCGAAGCCATCTGGCCCTCCCTTATCGACCTCCCGAACACCATCCCCGGCAACGTAGGCGTCACCAGCAACCGTATGATCGCGTACTTTGTCTTCTGGACCCGTGAGTCATTCCCTTGGTGACCCAACGCAGCGCTGACGACTAGTACAATTCCCCCTGGTCATGATCCACCCCCGCAAGATGCGCTGGCTCTTCTTCATCAAGTCCATCTTCGCCGTGGTTGCCGCCTTTGCCACCCTCGGCTGGGCCGTCAAGACCGCCGGTGGAGCAGGACCCATCTTCAGCAAGCCCCCTACCGCCACTGGCTACAACCTGTCCTGGGCCTGGGTCAGCGGTATCAACGTCGCCATTGCCGGCAAGACCACCCTCGCCATCAACATGGTGAGTACTGCCTCATTTCTGAATGCTGGCGATTGTAGCTGACACCCCAGCCCGATTTGACCCGATACGGTAACCGCCCGTCCGTCTCGTACTGGCAGATGCTCTTTGTCCCCGTCGTCTACTTTACCTTCTCCTTTATCGGTATCGTCATCGCGTCCGCCGGTCAGGCCATCTACGGTACCCTCTACTGGGACCCCACCGCGATCGTCGCTCTCTGGGACAGCCGCGCCGCCAAGTTCTTTGTCGCATTCGCCTTCGGTCTCGCCACGCTCGGTACCAACATCTCGACCAACTCGATCGCGTCGTCGAACGACTTTGCCTTCCTCTTCCCCCGGTGGATCAACATTCAGCGCGGAGCGTTCCTCACTGCTTTCTTGGGCGGATGGGCGACTTGCCCGTGGCAGATCCAGGCGAGCGCCAAGAGCTTGACCACTTTCTTGAGCGGCTATGTCATCGTCCTGTCTCCGTTGCTGTCCATCATGGTGAGCTTTGGCGTATACGCTCAGCAAAACCACCGCTGACGTACAGATCACCGACTACTGGCTCCTCCGCAAGACCCACCTCCACGTCCCCCTGCTGTACCAGAACGAGGGGATTTACCGGTACAAGGGCGGTGTCAACTGGCGAGCCGTCGCCACCCTCTTCGTTGTTGTCCCCATCAACCTTCCCGGTCTTATGAACGCCATCGACAACAACGTCAAGATTGGAAACTTTGCCTTCTTCTGTAAGCTTCTGCTCCCACATTCGCCCTGCGGAGCGTCAGCTGACCCATAGACCGCGCGTCCTGGCTCACCTCCTTCTTCATCACCGCCACCATCTACTACACCCTCTCCAAGATCTTCCCCCCTACCTCGACTTACGTCGATTGGACCGTCGAGTCGATGGACGAGGCCGAGTCTGACCCGGCACTCGCGCACGCCCCGTCCCTCAGCCACAACAACTGGGAGACTACCGGCGAAAAGGAAAGGCGGAGCGACGGGGACGATGGCAAGAGCCCCACCAACTCGACACACGACCGCAAGGCTTATGTCTAGCCTCCTCTTTTCGATCCTCCATCTCCGCGCCTCTCATCTTCCATCTTCCGGAATCTTTAGACACATCCAACCCCTCTTTCTTGTATATTACTTGAACCTTCATAGACTATCATAAACCCCCTATCCTCTTCTAAAACCGACCTCCCCAGCTGGGCCTGGAAGGCTATCATGACCCCCACTTTCTCGCCCAGGATTTGGATCTCGATTTACATTACGCTAGCGTATGTATGGACTACTCGCTCGCTCTCTTCCTCTGTCGTCTCGTCTAGATCTTTTGGGTTTATAATTTGCGTAGCATGCATCTCTGTGGTGACTTCTTGTCTTATTGAGATCCTGCCTAGCCCTTCTTTCAGACGCCAATGGCCGAACCGCATCATCCTCATGAATCGTGAATGCATCAAGTCTTCTCCGGTCAAATATATCTAGCTAGATGAGGAAAAGCGGGGATACTACGCAGCCATATCTAGTAAGATCTGATTGTCCATATCCGCCTAAGGCTGAGCCATACCGTTACTCTATCTAAGTATGTCGTTTCCTCGCATCCTCCATACACACTCAACCTCTCCGTCATCATACCAGACCAGCCGGCTTCCTCGTCCTCGACTTAGCGCACGTTGACAGGCAAGTATCGCTGTTCCTGCGGCCGGACATTCCACGTTGGCTGGCCATACCGCTCGTCCCCTGTTCCAGGGAGGAAGTCGGCCGCTCGTGTATCTGCTCGGTTGTCCATCGAGTCTCTGCGAAATCATCAGCTTTACTTCCTGATGTTTCGAATGCCTGACAGCTCACCTGTATGGTCCGTCCATGTTGGCCGACAACCCGTACCCGCTCTCACTCCGCATGGGCGCTCGTGATGACATATCGGTCGTCTCCATCGAGGCGATCGATGGCGAGGCCGACATTTTACGTTCGCGCGAGTACGGGGCGGCAGGAGCGAGGAGGTCATTCATTGCGTATCCGCCAGCAGCTGAATTGTCAGCTTCGTGTTCTGGCAGATGACACCGAGACAGTCAACTCACCTCCAGCCGCTGCTCCGGTGGGCGCATAGAATCCCTTCTCCCCGATCTGCTTCTTCTCGTTCCTCTTCTTCCGGATACAGCAGAACGCAATCAGCGCCGCCAGGATCAAGAGTGCGCCGACACCCGCGCCTACTCCGACACCAATCATGGCGGTCGTACTGAGCCCGGCGCTCGACCTATTTCCACCAGCGGCGGCAGCAGTTGCAGAGGCCTGGGGCGCGGTGAGGGCCGCATCGGTCGCGACGCCCGCAGTAGCCACGCCGGTCGAGGGTGCTACAGCCTGCACCGCCATGTACTTTTGCTTGATGATGTCCGCGCCCTTCTCGGCGACACCGTACACCGACGCCATAGTGTGCGCGGTAACGTGCAGGGGCATGATGGACGCGTCGATGACACGAAGGTTGGCCGACCCGTAAACGATAAGGTTCGTGTCCACCACCCCTCCGTCCGCCTTGGGCAACATCGCGCACGTGCCGATAGGGTGGTACTCGGTCGTACTGACCCGCCGAGAGTAGTCGTACAGCGCATCGTCAACGACGGTGCGGCCCGGTGTAGTCTCCGTGATGAAGTATTGCGAGAGCGGGGCGGTTCCGGCGAGCTTACGAGCAAAGTCGAGACCGTACGCCATGATGTCCGTGTCGAAACCGACACCAAAGTAGTGCGGGTCGATAGAGGGGGAGAGGAAGGGGTCGGTAGAGTTGATGAAGATCGTTCCGCGGGTCCAGGGGTGCTGGAGCGCGATCTGGATACCGAGGGTATTGTCGGCGTTTCCGAGCATGTGGAGGAGGACTTCGAGCTGGCCGATACGACCGGTAAGCCACTCCTGCATGATGTTGTACTGCTTGGTGAGACCGCTTGCGACGGTTGATGGGAGGGTAAGCCAGCCAGTGACGTCGGTGACGGTCTTGCTGAGCTGCGTCTTGATGTCGGCAGCGTACGAAGCAGCAGCCGCCGTGGACCCAGTGATGTCCGCGAGATTACTGTCTGGAGCATTATCAGCTACGTCCCGCTCCCCATTGTCCCGGCTGAAGCAACTCACAGCCCATGGCGTTGTTGACGTAGGTAAGCTTTCCAGTCCCGTTCGCCTTCCACTGCGCCAGCGCCGCCGCCTGCACGTCGGCGTTGTACATCTCGCGCCAGGTGACAGTTCCAGGCGGGGTCGACCAGTACATCGCGACCGAGACGTGGTCTTGCAGGTTGTGACCGACAGGGAGGTCCAGGTTCTGCGTGATTCCATAGCGGGTCATGAGGTCGGCGGGTCCGACACCGGAGAGCTGGAGAAGCTGGGCAGATCCGATAGTTCCACCGCTACTTTGTCAGCTGGATTCTCCGGATTTGCTACAGCATCTGAAGACTTACGCAAGAATGACCTCCTTGTTGGCCTGAACGGTATACGCGGTGGCTCCCCGGCTGCCCTGGAATCGCACGCCCGAAGCGATAATGTTGCCCGAGGCATCCTTGGTCCCGTTGAAGATGACCTGGGTCACCTGCTGGTTGGTAAGAATGACGAGGTTGGACCGTGGTGGCAGGCGGTCGATGTAGCCGGCCTTGGAATCACACCGGGTACCGTTTGAGGGATTGATAGTAGAGGGGTTGATAGTGACACCGTCTGCTTCGTCAGCTTTCTGCATAGTCTTCGCAGCGCTATAGGTAGACGTACGGGTGTCGCCGGCAAGCAGATCTTTGCTTTGGAAGCCAAGGTTGAGCCATGTTCTTCGCCGTCAGCTGTAGAAGGCAGTCGAGCTCAAGAGGACTCACGGGATCCAGTTCTGGACCAGGGGGTAGATGAAGTTGGTGATGGAGATTTGGATCGGTCCGTCCTTGCCGCCAGCATTGGGGTCAATGACATTGCCGAATTGTGCGATCCTCGCTGCGGTGGGGGCGGTGTAGGTCTCGCACTGCAAGGCATCAATACCGCTTCTATCAAGTACGATAGCAGAGAAAGAGAATGCACCTTTCGCATGTACTTGCTCATTTCGTTCCAGTTCCAGGTTTGTGCCGAATTCGGGTTGAGTTCTGGATAGTAAGCTTTCGGCCCGTCCGAGTGAGAACATCCTTCAACGTACGTCCCCAAGCATCGTACTCCATCTGATCACCCTTGCACCAATAAAGCCCGTTCACCGCTCCACTCCCTCCGAGTCCCTTTCCACGCGGCCACTTCTTGACGAGATTCAGCGCGTCTATTTGCGGGGTGGTCGAGTATCCCCAGTCGAATGTCGTATCTCCCAAACCCTTGAGGTATGAGTAGCCTACCCGTCAGCTAATTGCTCCAACTTTTCAAGCTTGTCTAACGACGTACCTGGAATATCAATCTGATCCTCGAATTGCGACCCATCCGCCCCGGCCTCAATGACCAAAACCGTCACGTTGCTCCACTCGCTCAGCCTCGCGCCCAGCGCAAGACCCGCACATCCTCCACCGGCAATGACAAAGTCGAAAGCGCGGCCGTTGACGCGTGAAGCGTCGGTCGTGATTTCTCTCTTGAGGGATTCGCGGTAGGGGTTACCCGAATTGTGGCTGCCTTCGGGGGAGGGGTGGGCAATGGCGAGAGGGAGGGCGAGGAGGGAGAGGGAAAGAGGGAGGAGTGAGGGAATCATCCTGGGTGGCGATGAGTTCTGGAGTGTAAGCTGAGATTTATGGGTGCGGGGGGTGCGTCCAGCTCGTTGGGAGGAAGATGAGATCTTTCGCACTCACGCTGAAAATTGATGGGCTGTGCAAGACACGAAACGCCTTGTCCAGATGTAATCGTCAAAAGACCAGAGTAAGCGAAAGGATGAGATCCGCGAATTCGAAATCTGCTTCGCGGTCGGCTGTCCGATAGGCTCCGAGATAGGCCGCAGAAGGACGCGAACGATTATAGGTCCGAGTGTGATGTCGCTGTGTGTGAAATGGGTGGATGTATAGATGGCAAGATCAACTCGCTGACTTCAGAGATCGTCTTTTGCGCTGCAGATACGATCGGACTATGCTGTGGAGGGTAGCCAAGCAAGTGGTAGGAAAGATAGATGGGTTGATTAGTAAAAGCTAACTGAGGGAGGAAGACAAGGAAGGAGGTGACCGCGCCAAGAGAACTTTCATCGCTTCACCCAGGCGCGTCTGTTTCAGGGACAGAAAAGGTTAAAAGGGGGTAGGGTCATCACTCAAAGCTAAAGCCACGTGGGTGGCACTGCCTCGGTCCAGTGGCGGATGATAAGGTCGCTCGTGCTTGAGCCATAATGCGAAGCGCAATTACTCGGAAAGGTCGTCACGGTCAACCCATCAGGTACGAGCATGAAGGCTAAGCAGCGTACTCGCAACGATTTGACATCATGTAACAATAGATATTCTACCTTCCGCTGCAAGGCTAGGTATTCCGGATGTCAAGACCGCCTACTCACATGTCCCCTTCCCTTCCATTGCGATTCAAACCAGCTACTCGTCCTTCATGATGGGCACATCCTCCGTCCGGTGCAGCATCTCGGAACCAACCATCTCCCTACTCCGGTGCTTGCCTTGCCTATTGAAATGTCAGCCATGTTCAGCGATTCGAGGGCGCTTGCAGCTGAACATACCTGATCCCCGCCATAGCATCGTCCAGGATATCCGCTATCCGGTCAAAGTCTTCCAGCTAGATCGTTAGTAAGAGGCCCTAGGTTGGCGTAGCACGATGATAGCTCACCTCGATCCAGACCTGACAGGAGAAACGGGCGCAGACCTTGCCGGCGTGCGCGTACTGAATTGATCAGCTGTATATCCGATACGCTTTGGCGTGACTCACGATTGCGCAGAACGCGTCCCCTTCGAATAGCTTGTCCTCGATGTACTTCTTAGCTTCCAGCGCTTCTTCGGCCTTCTCAGGGACGGGAAAGTCAGGCAGGAAGACGTTCAGCTGCTTGGTCAGCCGGGATATCAGGCCATACTCTGATTTGCTACGTACCATAGCCGCAGTCAGCTCGCCTTCCGGGGTTTCCATGACCACCCGTTCACCTCCCCATCTCTCCGCTAGTCGTTTACCACCCGCTACAGCCAGCGCGTGGTTATACGCTATAATCCTGTCTTCCCCGCCGATCTCCTTCCGGAAATCAAGAGCCGAGTTGATGGAGAAGAACGGTCCCCAATCTTGGGTGGAGACGTAGTCGTACTGCGTGTTCAGCTCTGACATCATGATGAAGATCGTTTCAAGGAGGGCGTAGAGCGGAGGAGGAACTAGATTTGAGCGGAATCGGGCTCACTTGCTTTGCCCATTCCTGTTTCCGCGTCACACCCGGCGCTGGATGACTCTCCGACTCATACCCATACCCCGTCGGCAAGCTCGACCGTATCAGACCTTGGTTCCGGTTTGGGATGTATAAGACCGCACAAGCTCGGTGTGCGTAAAGCCACTTGTGACAGTTCTATCTCGTCAGCTTTGTCTCCCGCCGAGTCCAGAAGGGTGACCTACAGAAACCCAGAAATCCGGATCAGACGCCTTGACGTCCGTCTTGACCTGCCCTATCGCGTGCGCCGCGTCGACCATCGAGTACACGCCATACTTCTTGCAGAGCCCCACGAGACTGTCCATGGGATATATCATGCTGAGCCCCGTCAGCTTGATCCTGAAGTTGGACGCGAAAGCAGAGCTCACCCCGGCATACTCGCAATCTGATCGATCACCAGCCCTCTGATCCGTTTCTTGACATCCAGACCCGTCGGCTTGGCCTGACCAGTATAGTTCGGAATCGCAGGCGAGTTGTACTTGGCAAGTACTTCCTCTGTGCGCTTGACGATTTCCGCGTGGGATACGGGAAAGTCGAGGCTGATCACTTCGAGTGATAGGGTAGGGTTGCGGTCGACAAGGTACTTGATAGTCTGCGCCACGGCTCCGTATGTTGTATTATCTATGGATCAGCTCACTTCAGTTGATAAAGTAGATGGTCAACTTACAGGCCAGAATGATATCCCCTTCTGCCCAATCGATCTCCCTCAGGATATTATTCATCCCATGCGTCGCTCCAGGAACGATCACCACCTCGTCCATGGACGCGCCGATGAGCTCCGTAACGCGCCGCCGGGCCTCATGGAGATGAGGCAGGTAAGCTCGCTTGATAAAGTGGTCAGGCCGGGCTTCGCACTCGTCCGAAAGGGATCTGATGGCACGGAGGACGGGCAGCGGTGGGGAGCCGTAGGAACCGTTGTTGAAGTTGAGATCTGAAGCGTCAGCTCTGACGATCCTCATAAGTGTATGTTGTAATGACTTACATCCGTCCTTGAAGGCCCAGTACTTGAGCATGTTGTGCCCGAAATCAGGATATCCCTCTTTACGCTGACCTTCCAGCTCAGACGCGGTACCATTTCTGGCTTGCTCGCCGGTGGTTCCGTGGGACTTCTGCTCTGCATGATGCCGCTCGACATCGTCGTACTCTTTCGTCGAGGAACCAGTCCAGACGTCCGCCTTGTCCCTGACAAAGGTCTCGAAGCTGACTCAATCAGCATCGGCTCGCTCAGGATGATCGAGCACGAACGGAGACTCACTCCCAGATACTCGGCTCGAGATGCTTGATATCATCGCTCCAGACATATACCCAGGCCACTTGCCCCGCGTCGTCCGCTTGGTCCCCCTTCAGACCCCCGCCAGGCCCATCTGGGCTCAGAGCGGTCTTGACTGCCGCAACAGCCTGTCCGACGGCGCTGAGTGCCGAGGAGGGCTTCGATACGCCTGAAGAGTCGGCACGGTCTGCCTGCGATATGGCCGGACCGGACCCCATGATCCGTATGGGCAGCTGGCGCCGAGCGTATTGCTAAGCAGTTCAGCTTCACAGTGCGATTTGAGCAGCTTGAATCAGCTGTAGATGGCACGCACATTTCCCTCGAAAGTGTCAAGAGCCATGACATCGCGCAAATCCAGCCCTTTGACAAGTGTACCGCGCGTGCTGAAGTCGACATCTCGAGCCTCACTGCCTTATCAGCTTCCAAAGCACCCTTGTAGTCGTCATCCGCCACGTACGAGGTGGCAGATAAGAGCTTCTCAGCTGACTGCTTGTCGATCACAGCAGGGTAGTCCTCGTTCTTGACATGGTGCCTGGTGTACCCCTTGGCTGATCAGCTGCTCGGACTGATGTCACCCCAGCGTAGATGAGAAGCAGGTCAGTCAACGAACCGGTAAGATGGCATCTTCAAATTGCAGCCCGTCGACCGGTCTGCGCAGGACGCGCGAGAGGATGGTGGGGTGACAAAGAGTACCGTAGAAGAAAACTTGATGTGTCAGTGGGCTTCTCAGCTGTAGCTCGATATGAGTGCAACCTTGAACCTCGAGCCAGCCAGGCGGGGGGAAAGGACTGACAATTGTAGGTCTCAGCGTCCTCCATCTTCATGATAGCTTTCTCGCAAGGGCTAAAGGTTCCTGACCAGTGTCGGTGTGTGGTCCAGACGCAGGCGCGGGCCAGTGTCTGCCTCTTGTCTTGTAACAACAAAGGAAAAGCTGCGAGATAACGAGCTTCGAGTCGACCACTACCCCGCACAACTACTGTTATTACCCCGCATTACTGCGCCACGTGGATTAGGCTTTGGAGGTGACGTGACGCGCAGCGATCCTCTTGTTGACTTTGACTTCGCTCAAGCTCCCTCTCGTTGTGCTTTTTGGACCTAGTGGCCATCTATCTACATCTCTTGCTTGCCTTTCTTCTTGCTGTGACGACCTCTCATGACCACCCTCCGGTAGACCTGTCATATACATACCCATCTTGAGCCTTGCGCTGTCCATAATCGCCTCGGATACAGTCGTCTCAACCGACCTCACGACAACCGGACCATGTCCGACGACTATGGCTTTGACGACGCATTCGACGACTCCTTCCTCCGCGAGGTAGACAACATCACTGCTGTAGCCAGCACATCCGCCGCCGCTGCTGCTGGACAAACCAAAAACATCGCCCGGACAACCTCTCACCCCGTCACATCATTCAACAAGGGCTGGACAGCAGCCCAACGGAGCGTCTCTGCGGCTTCGGGATCGTCCTCTCGTCCACCGCAAAGACCTCCGCAGCTCGCTTTCCAGAAGCAGCCCGTTCCACCCAAGGGAGATGCCCCGCTGTCGCCCCGGTCCAAAGGCGCCGAAGCTCGCCGTCTCGCCCTCCTCGGTCTTTCCTCCAAACCCCCATCGCAAGGTCTAGGATTCAAGCCCATACCCAAGAACGCGGTCGCGTCGTCCTCTCGCGCCCTGCACCCTCCCGCGGCATCTGGTTCTCGCCTCGGACGCACTTCCAGCGGACCTACCGGCGTCCAGACCCATCTGAACTTCCGCAGAGAGAACCAGACGACCAAGGGGAAGATATGGGACCGGACAGCGTTTGCAGCTACGGGGCGGAAGAAGGTCATCAAGAATAAGGATGCGTTGGAGGCGCAGAAGAAGAGAAAGCGCGGTGAGGCGTTCGATGATGAAGAGGACGAGATGGATGAGGAGGAAGATGATTGGGGAGAACCGCTGGCTCCTGATCCGAAATCCAAGGTGGACTTATGTGAGTTGTCTGCTTACTCTTGTTCAGGATGCGTCAGCTGACTCAGTAGCGAAAGCATATGAACCACCGAAACATCACCCCGATCTAGAAGCCACCAAGACTTACATCTACCCTACCAATCGACCCAAGCGGGACTACCAGTTCGACATCGTCATGGCGTGTTTTACGGATAATTGCTTGGTAGCTCTACCAACGGGTCTGGGAAAGACCTTTGTGGCGGGAGTAGTGATGTTGAATTGTAAGCTATACTTGGCCATTTGGCACCAGCGATTATACAGGAGTCAAGCTAATGCGCCAGTCTACCGCTGGTTCCCCACTGGAAAGATAGTCTTCCTCGCCCCGACTAAGCCACTCGTCAACCAGCAGATCGAGGCGTGTCAAATGACCTGCGGTATTCCGAGCAAGGACGCGGCTGTTATGACTGGATCCAGTGTATCAGCAAAAGAGCGAGTAAAACTGGTAAGTCTCTTCTGCTCGGGCCAGCCACTTGGCGCTGACTCTGACAGTGGCAAGAAAGACGCGTCTTCTACTGTACCCCTCAAACAATGTATAATGACCTAACGACCGGCCGACTCGATCCCCGCGATATTGTCCTAGCTGTATTTGACGAGGCGCACAAAGCCTCGGGATCATACGCCTATACCACCATCCTCGCCTACCTTACCGCTCACCAACCGCACTTCCGAGTACTGGCCCTCACAGCCACCCCTGGGGCAGATGTACCGAAAGTCCAGGGCGTGGTAGATGCGCTGCATATCAGTCGGATCGAGATCAGGGAGGCGGAGGATCCGGCCATTAGCAAGTACATGAATGAGAAGGTAGGTTTCGAGTTCGGGATATAAGGACCAAGCTGATATAGCAGCACACAGAGCAGCATGTCGTACCCATGTCGGATGTCATTGAGGGATTCAGAGATCGCTGGGCGGTCTTGATGCGGGTAAGCTATGACCACTTCTTACTTGCGGATTCTGGCTGATGCTCGCAGCCTATGGTGCAGAAGCTCGTAGACAAGGGTGTCCTGATGGACCGCGACCTCGATACGAAGCGTCTCAAGCCTTTCCGGCTTACGGCGAAGCGTATGGAGATCAGTCGGGACCGGACAAGCGGGGTGAGGTGGGCACTGGGGTCGCTGCAGAGTCTTGAGCAGATGGCCAGAGCCATGACCCATCTTGTAAGCTGTTTACTCCTGCCATAATCCGTGACATTGAGCTGACAAGGTAGCTCGAATTCTCGTTAGGCATGTTCCGCGCGACCCTCCTCGAGATAGCCGGTAACACCTCGCAAGAAACGGGCAAGAAAGTCGGGTCCAAGGGAAATTCCAATTCCCTGCGGAACAACCTGGAATTTCAGAAGCTGCTGCGGGATGTTGAGGCGGAGATGAACCTCATGCGAATAGGAGCTGGAGGGAGGGGGAGGAGTGATGCGCATCCGAAGATGGGCAAGACATTAGAACTGGTGCGTTCACCTTTGTCGATGTTGGAGTCGCCCGAAACTATACGAGATCGAGCTGACGGACCAGCTTCTTGCACACTTCACCCAAGCTGCAGAGGACGAGAAGGTGCATGGGATCAAGAATGATACGAGGGCGATGGTGTTTTGCTCTTTCCGGCATTGTGTCTTGGAGGTGGTGGTGAGTACCATTCGGGCTAGCTCTTGAGGATAGTCGCTGACGAGGGTAGGATATGCTGAATGATCACCCTGCCTTGCTGAAGGCTACCAAATTCGTCGGTCAGTCGCAGGGAAAGCAGGAGAATGATAAGGGGTTTAACCAGAAGGAGCAGAAGAAGGTTAGTTCGAGGGCTCTTCGATGCGCATATGAGGTCATAGCTAACAGTATACAGACCATTGTCGACTTCAAAGAAGGCAAACACAATATCTTGGTATCTACTTCTATCGGCGAGGAGGGTCTTGATATCGGAGAGGTCGACTTTGTCATTATCTATGATATGCCTAAGCAGAGTATCAAGTTGGTGAGCTAGACTCCGTCCCAGGTCGAAGACCGAGGTATAGCTGACGTCAACAGCTCCAACGTATCGGTCGTACCGGTAGAAAACGCTCCGGGCAGGTCCACGTCCTCATGTCCGGGAATCGCGAAGACCTGAACTGGGATAGCGCCCAGCAGACGCATCGGGAGATCCAAGAAGAAATCCTACACTCTCGCAACCTCGAGCTGTTCGAAGACGTCGAGCGACTCCTCCCGGTCGGTCCGTTCCCCAAGTGCGAAGAGAAGGAGATGCCGGTCGACCCGTGGGACCCGGAAGACCAGAAACGCAAGATCGTCGCCACGCCAAAGTCCAAGACGAAGGCCAAGGACAAGGAGGCGGGGGCGGGGGCGGTACAGCGGGGAGATGCGATACCTGAGGGAGCGGCGAATGGGTTCCGGAGCGTGGCGGAGTTGCTGAGGGAGCAGGGGAAGCCCGTGGCTGGGAAAGGGAAGGCCAAGGCGGGTCTGGCTACTACGACCGGCAAAGGCAAGGGGAAGGCTACGGCGGATGCTGGGGAGGGTAAGGGAAAGAAGAGGAAGGGTGCCAGTCCGGTCCGGAGCGAGAGTGGAGGGGACGATGATGTGGTGGAGGACGAGGAGCTGCTTTACGGGCCGGTCAAGACGGCTGCGGGCCGACCAGCGAAGAAGACAAAGAAGGTCGCGGAGGGCGGGGCGAAGGCAAAGAAGGTAGCCAAGGGGAAGAAGGGTAAGGCGGTCGTTGAGGAGGACGAGGAGGCGGCGGAGCCAAAGGAGGATCCGACCGATCCCAAGGTGATCAGGAGGAAAAAGGACGAGGAGGAGCGCAAGAGGCAAGAATCGATCGACCGGATAGGGCTGGACTTTTTCCACCCGTCTGGCCCTCTCCGGAACGGTCCTCGTTTACCCGACCTCACTCCGCCTAGCTCGCCCTCGCCGTCTCCCGTCCGCAAACGAGCTACCCACCCGCCCGGCAGCCCTGACTCCGACTCAGAGCCTCATATGCAGGCTCACAAGCTACGCGGAATGGGCCGCCTCAGTCCAGCTACCGCAGCCCTCGTCGGTTTCAGCCAGATCGACCCGATCGACTTGTCCTGGAACGACAGTGACGAGGAGGTGGTGGCGTTGCCGCGTATCTTGACGCAAGAGAAGTACGTCGACGAGGACGAGACGCTCGTACCTTCTGCTCCGCCCCGTCGGATCGGGCTGTCCAAGTCCAGACCCGCCTCTCAGGTCGTGACCAAGGCCACGCCCCTCGGCCCATCAAGATCTACCCTCGATATGCCTCCTCCGCCTATTCCGGCCCATCGCTCATCGTCACCTGCCGGTCCACGCTCGGTGCCCACGCCTGGGATCGAGGCGACCCAGTTCCTCGTGCGTCGGCCGGTGGCCAGGCGGGCAAGGATCTTCGAGACGTCTTCAGACAAAGAAGCAAAGAGCGGTCCGGTGGATGAGGACGCAGTGTCGAGTCCGTTCTTACCGCTCAGAGGGGGGGCCGCGAGGGTAGCCACCGTGAGCAGTGATCCGGCTTCTAGTCCTGTCGTCCCGCGTAGACCCAGACCAAAGGGGAAAGGCAAGGTGCCTAAAGCTCAGGTTCAGCAATATGTGAGCTATCTTCACAGTTCACTTCCGCCTTGAGAATAAGCTGATCGCTTAGTTCGACGTAGATGTTGAGATATCTGGTACGGACTCGGCGGACGAGCCATCTCAGGACGAAGAGACCGAGTCGGATCGCAAGTTCGCCGGGAAAGACTTTGCTCCCACCCAAGCTCCCAAGGGTTACAATCAACGCGCCGTCTACCTCGCTGGGCTCTCCACCCAGGCGGGATCCAAAGCGGGACTCGGCGTCAACCCGCGCGGTAATCCGGAAGGCTTCTTGGCCAAGGCCAGGCGGCCGGTGCTAGTCACAGATGATGAGCGGAGTGAGGGGGCGGCGACAGAGCAGGGGGCAGACAGCGAGAATGAGTACGAGCTGGGGAGCTTTGTCGTGCAGGATGATGAGGATTTGGGGTTTGACGCGTGTGAGTAGATGTCTGCGAGGATAGGGGAGAGTACACTGGCTGATCAGATAGCTGGTAATGAGTCCAACTAGGCGAGTCTGGTATGACGCCTATGCAACCTTGTCTTCGTATCACGACGGTGCAACATTGTTCCGGTCGCTGCAGCTCTGTCTGGTACGGACTCTCATCTGTTGTACTCTTGGGCTTTCAAGCCGATGTATCACTGTATGCCACTCACACTCACCACTCAGAAGTGTCAGAGGGATACTCATCTGATACATTTGACATCTTTGCTACAGGATTCGCGGACCAAGTGCGCTGGGTGGGGCACCGATGCCAATGGGGAGAGTGCGGTATGGGTGTCGATCTCAAGCCGGAAGGTCTCGCCTGATCAAGTCAGCTCAATTGTAAGGCTCTCCACATGAATGTTGCGGCCTGAGGCACTCACTTGCGTAGCTGCCGTTCTCGCTGTGTACATGCTCTTTTCGCCTTAACCGCTACTCCTTCACTGCGCAGCACCGTGGTCCCCACACGCCTGACACCGATGTGCCTTGTCCGCCTTCCGCAGCTCAATCCGCACTCGAGTCAGGTCCGTCATCGCCGTCGTCACCCTGCTGAGGAATGACTTGGCTGCGGCGACGACGGTCTGTGCAAAGACATGCTCCGCCTCCCTACGCTCCTGAGGGTCGCAGCGGGTCGAGTAGGGGAAAAGACCAACAATGACGACCCGAGTTCGGTCAATGACCGCTTGACGCTGTTCTCCGCCTTGGTCGATCTGCAGCTGAGCTTTGAGCAGCGCAGAGCAGACTTGGGCGCCGATCCAAAGACCGAGATCCGCCTCTTTCGGGGGATCATCGAAGACCACATGATCCCAATTGAAGGGGAGGTGGGAAGAGCGGGACCGAGGAAAACCGGGAGGAACGTGGATTTCGGTCGTGCCGCCAGGGATGATTGCGAAGGTCTGTAAGGCATGGACGTGCCAAATCCGCAGAGCGGACGGGAAGTGGGCCATGGGCGTGGAAGAAGAGGAGAGGCGAACCGGGCCCAGGGGGATCTGCTGCCAAAGTCGAGTGACGACCCGTTCCTGGCCCAGATCCGAATAGCAAGCGAGACCTACGTCCTCGTAGCGGAGACGCTTTCCCAGCTCTCGCTGAGCGACCGATACCGTCTCCAGCGACGGCAACACCTCTCGAGGTAAAGCCTCCAGTGCCGAGAGAAATTGGTTGGACGTTAGGCCGGGCCCATCGACGGCTGCATAGCTGCCATCGACGCGGTAGCCAGCCCGGAGAGCGTCGAGGTCGACATAGATATGCTGGACGTATCGCAGCGCCGCGAGCTTGTAGTGACCCGCGCTGAGTAGTTCCGCGGTCGAGAGCTCCTCGACGCCGCTGGGGACATCGATTGGAGTGGCGCCGAGTAGAAATGAGTGCGCCGCGAGACGGGAGGTGATACGCGCCGAGCGATATAGGATGGGTAGGACAGTGAGGTAATCGGACTGGGGAATTTCAGCCCATGCAGGCAATTTGGTTCTCAATTGACTCACCTTTGAGACGGTAAGCATTGAATTCTGGACAGAACTGCTCTCTGCTGCGCTCATATGAGCGAGCATGTGTGTGATGACGTCCGTAGGCAGCTGTTCCATTTTGCGCAAAGATATGGACAGTTGCTGGCTTCGTGTGGAGTGGCGAAAGAGATGTCGAATGGAGGGTGTTTCTCAGCGAAAAATACGATCCCGCTTGTTGCCTACAGTAAACAGAAGTCAACGTGAAACGCTCGGACGTGAGGGCGTGTCATCCGCCACCAGAGCCACATTGCCGCTCGGATCGTCAGCCGTGCCAGATCCTGGTACCCCTCCAGAAGCCATCTGTTCACATGCCTGACTTGTTTTCGCAGTTCCTTCACCGAGCATCAGGTCAGAAACGCAGCCTCCCCACTTCGGACAGCCCCGCTGCATCCACCAAAGTGGGGAAGTCCGTGTCAAGTCCGAGATAAGCGGAAACCAAGCTAACCGGCTTGAAGCATAACCGAGGCCGAGCTTACCGTACTTCTCGGTCCGCCTTGTGACCTTTTGTACAGCTACCTTAAGCTACCCAGTCCCCCCTCATCTCATCATCGACCACATCACATACTGCAAACATGTCTGACAGCTCAAAATCCAACCAGCTCGTTCTAGCCGTCAGGCCGGAGCGCGGCCCAGTGACCGACAAGACATTTCGCCGGGAGACTGCTCAGTTGCCTGAGCTGAAAGAGGGGGAGCTGCGGGTGCGAGTGGACTATGTCTCCATTGTGAGTCTCGCTGTCTAGCCTGGAGCCCAGAGAAAGGAATCTGTGTCCTGGCGGGCGGTGCTGACAGTCTAGGATCCTACCCAGCGCAACTGGCTGAATGATGCTCGCTCGTACATGGAGCCCGTCAAGATTGGCGCGGTGATGCGCGCTGCGGCAGTGGGGCGAGTTGTCAAATCAAAGGCTAAGGGGTTCTCTGAGGGTGACCTTGTAATTCCCCCACTACTTGCTACGGTATATCGCGGAGAGTCGCTGACCCCGAGCAGGTATACGGAACCTTAGGCTGGCAGACGTACTGGCAAGGCCCCGCCAACAAGGTTGAGCACCGCGATGTCCCGCGCGGTGGAAAGGACATGGACCACCTCGGACTCTTTGGCGCGTCGGGTATGACGGCGTACTTTGGCATGTTTGACATTGGGAACCTGAAGGACGGTGACAACGTGGTGATCTCCGGAGCGGCAGGATCTGTTGGCTTGGTGAGACGGCTCAGCTTTGCCTTTATGAGCGCAGAGTCGCCGCTGACAGCTAGATCGCTACTCAGATTGCTCTTTCGCACCCCAAGTGCAAAGTGACGGGAATTGCCGGCTCGGCCGAGAAGTGTGCGGAGCTCAAGAAGCTGGGTGTTCACCATGCGCTCAACTACAAGGACAAGGATTTCCGGAAACAGCTTCGGAAGGTCGGCCTTGTGGACCTTTACTTTGACAATGGTAAGACCGACCGACCGCTCGAGGGTGTAGCGCTAAGCATCAGTTGGCGGTGAAATCCTCGACATGGTCCTTGGTCAATTACAGGTATATGCCCGTATAGTCCTATGCGGTATGATCGCGGCGTACAAGTTAGCAAGCATTTCATTTCCCGCCCCGACCATGCTGATACAATAGTGCAACTACACCTCCACCAATCCTCAATCTTCCCACCCTGATCAGTACCAAGTCCTCCATGCGCGGCTTCATCGTCTTCGACTATGCGACGCGGTATGGCGAAGGCCGAGCCTACTTGGCGGACATGGTGGAGCGGGGCACAATGAAGTACCAGTATCACGTGCTCAAGGGGGACAAGGGCGAAGCGGATGGGCTGAGCAAGTGCGTCGGCGCGCTGGAGGACGTCTTCTCGGGTAGGAACTATGGCAAGACGTGAGTCATAGTCCTCGCAGGTGGACAACAGCTGATCCATTAGGGTCGTAAGAGTATCACAAGAAGAGAAGAGCAAGCTATAGTCTGGCTAGTGACATCTTGTGACTAGAATGAGTGTCGGTCGATTGCACGCAGATAGGTCTGAAAGTGATGGACAAGCACAATGGACCGAACTGCATAGTTTCTCGGGCCCAGACAGGCCAGACTCCCCCCAATGCTAATGACTATTGCAAGGCCATGGGCATACGTCCTATGACACCGGTGATAAATGTACAGCTGTTTGACATGTGGTGTGGACGAGCGTCCAGGGTTGGTATCGACCGGCTGCGGTCTGTCGACTCGGTCGTGCTCGGGAAGAGGCGAGACAATGCGGGATGCGGTGGAGGTCGAGTCGAGCATTGATGGGAGTTATCTCCGCGCGTGTCCCTATCGGTTGCGCGTGGATAAATCGATCACGTCTGCCTGGAACGTACTCTCTGGGGTCCCACGTCCCACGCTGTCCTAATGATCCTGGTCGTTAGCTATTGCCTTATCCATCCAGCACCGTCGGATCGGGATCTGGAGACTTACCTAGTGCCCGTCCTCATGGCTTTCATCCCCTGACGCATTCTCTTGACTGCCTTCCCCCTCATCCCCTTCGACCGTTGCTTCTTCCTCCTCCGACGACTCGTCCTCGGCTTGATCTCCCTCCTGCTCCACTCTGCCATCTGCGCCCTCTTGACCCCATCCTGCCCTGATTCCCAACAGGTCCGTTCCTGGCGGTATCGACCCGCCCGCGAGACTCTGCAGAAGGAGCCGATTGATCGCGAGTTGCTGATACGCCTGCATCTGCAAGCCTGCCCTGATTTGCTCGTGAAGCTCCGCCTGGGCTGCCGCCATTTGGTGTTGGGCGTGCCAGTCGAATGCAAAGTAGCCCGCATCGAAGCCTCCCAGCCCTGGCGGGTCTCTATCGACCTGATCCTGGCCGTTGTCCTCGTCATCCCTTTCGCTATCGTCCTCCTCCGAGCCATTCCCCTCCTCAATGTCCACTTCGCCGCCTCCCTCGCTGTCACTATAGTCGAGCTGGCACCTATCGCAGCCGTGTCCGTCCAGCTCGCCCATACACTCCGAACACCGCAGGATTCGGTAGCCCGGACCGCCATCGGTGATCTTGTATGAAGAGCGCTCGACGGGGAAGAGGTTGAACCACGGATCCTCGACCGCGTCGAGGGTTTCGGCGCTGATGCCGGCCGAAGGAGATATGCCGAGGAGAGCAAGGATAGAGTCGAGGTGATAGGTACGGGTCGGCCGGCGGATGGTGAGTGCGCGGCAAGTGGGGCAGATCTTGGCGCGATGTGACACGTCGTAGTCGGCAGGAATGTCGCCGTTGACGGTGTCGGGGACTTCATGCAGGTACGCCGCGGTCGTGTAGAACCACTTGACGAGGCTGTAAACTATCAGCTCTGCGAGGCGGTCTAAGATGAGGGAGGGCATACCAGAGTTTGCAGGCGATATGGCCACAGGCGAGACTGAGATGTAAGCTCAGTTGATGCTAGATGTACGGGAGAATGGTACCGCTCACCTGTGTGGATCTTTGAGGGAGTCAAGGCAGATACTGCAACACACAGCCTCCTTGATAGACTCCAGCTTTGCTTCCTGCTCCTTGATGATCTAGAATCCGTCAGCCACGTCCCCAGTAGGATCAAGCCGGCAAGGAGGATCGGACGACTCACACGACTGGAATCCTTGCTCTGATCCGAAATGACCCGAAGCTCCCTGCGGACCTCTGCTAGATCCGCATTCATCATCCCATGCGTCTCCTCCCATTCCGCTTCCACCTCCTCCTTCTCCCTCTGACTCGCCTTGAGTTCCCTCTTCAGCTGGGATATCTCCATCCGCCTCATCACCTTCCTCTTCTTCTCGGCCGGTGCTAAGCGCTGCCGAACTGGTCCCAGTCGAGGATGATCGCTCCTCCGCTTCTGGCGTCTGGTTGCCCCTGTGTCGGGAATGTCTGCTGTGGAAGATGTGTCGACGCCGGCGGTCGAAGGAGGTTCGTCGGACCTGGCCATCCTGCGTCTCTTCCTGGTATTCCCGGTCGGCTGAAGGTCGTCCTTCCGGCTGCCCGAAGAGCCCGCGACCTGGTCCATGTGGTCGTGCCCGAGACTTGGCCGGCCGGCTCGGGACGATTGATGAGTCATGGCCCCTCGAACCAGGTGATGTTGGACAATCGGTCCGAGCGAGAGGCAGGTCGAATTGGGGTGAGGGCCGAGGGAGTCTCCGCGTGAGGGCCAAGGGCCCTTGCCGATGTTCCGCAGCGGAACTGATCGCTTGTGATGTAAATTCTGACTATACAGATCCAGTAAGGTTGAAGTGGAGTTGCGAAAGGCTGTGAAAGTGCAGACGCGCGGAATGCGGACCACCTGAGCATATTTAGATCACGTGACTAAGTGAAACGTCTCGAGGCTGGGACCGTCTGCCCGAGGGACAGCAACTGATCTCAAGCGCATAACTGATGCATGCGCTTATATAGGTTTGCTAGGTACAGGTTAAAATCGTATGGAATTATTTGCGGCCTGAGATGAAGACGTGAACATGCGACGAGGGATGAATGTGTGGCGGCCGTGCGGCGCTGCAGTAATGAATGGTGGGAGGATGAACGAATCGTCGCAATGAAGTGATGCAGGCGTGGCGTGATACGTGATACGGTCGTGATGGTCGTGTCCGGCGAAAAGAAGGATACGGGGATGCGGCTAGTCCTCCTCATCGGATCCAGAGACAATGATGCGACGCCTTGAAGACGTAGGAGCAGCTCGGATCGCAGGAGACGGAGACCTAGGTTTTCAGCTTGAGTGGTCGACCTGCCTAGACCTGGAAGCTGACCTGAGGCGTTCGGCGAATCGAGCGACCCTTCGCTGCCTCATCTGCTCCATATCGAGGTCTTCTTCCGCAACCTGAAGGCATCAGCTCGGATCGACACATCACCTGACACCCAGAACTCACCTCGACACTTCCGGACGGACTGCCCGAGTCATCACGGCCCCCACCCGTGATTCCGCTCTCATCCGCCTCGGCCTCCTCATTTTCCTCTTCATCCTCCTCTTCGTCATCATCGATAAAGCTCGCCTCGTACGATCCCGACTCATCTCCAGACTCGTAGTGATTCGGGTCGTCCGGGCTGTAGAGGTCGCGGTTCCGGAAGGAGTGATTATGGACGGCGACGATTTCCGCCATATCCGAGCCCTCCTCGTCGCTGTCTTCCTCGCTGTTGACCTCGTACCGCTCCGCCCCAATCTCCACCTCTTCCTCCTCCTCGCCTTCTCCATCGGACTCCGCCTCGAGGTCAAACATGTGATTCCGCTCGGCGATGAGTTGCCGCTCTTGAGCGCGAATCTCCCTGTCCGCCCTAGCGTCCGCAGCGTTCTCCCGCCGAGCCCGGAGGATGGCCTCATCATCGAGCTCGTCACCGTCCATACCCAACACATCTCCGTCCGCGATCCCATCGAGATCACTCGCATCCGCGCCATCCCCAGTCTCATCCCCGTCGCCGAGCTCATCCCCTATCTCGCTGCCCTCCGATAACATCTCGCCTTCCCCCTCGCTCTCGCTAAATTCTATGTCGCACTCCTCGCAGAAGTTGTCCACCAGCTCATTGTGACACTCGGGACAGCGGTCCATCTGGTCGTCTTCGTCGCGTACGCGATAGGTGTTGAGCTCGGGCGGGAAGAGGTTGTGCCAGGGATCGCTGCTCTCGCGGGCGTCTTGGCTGAGGGTAGGGAGCTGCGGGTTGATGCCGAGCGGTTCGAGGATCGAGTCGAAGTGGTACATTCGGGAAGGGCGGCGGAGGATTTGGACGCGGCAGACATGGCAGAGCTTGGTGCGATAGGAGACGTCGCGGGTGGTGGGGATGGTCTCGTGGATGAGGTCAGGGATTTCGTGGAGGAAGGCAACTGGTGTGCGGAACCAGGAGACAAGGCTGCGATATGAGCTATCGACTGTCACAACGGCCCTGTCAGTTAGACCAGAAGACTCACCAGGCTTTGCAGGCAATGTGACCGCATGTCAGGCTGACTGGTCAGCTCTTCCTACCATAGTAAAACTGGTGAAGCTTACATGTGAGGGTCCTTGAAGTAATCCAGGCAGACACCGCAAGTCGCAGCTTCGCGCAGAGTATCAAGGATACCAACGTTCTTCGCGAGCTCCTACCATGATCAGCCTGAAACCGCTGCAGCTAGAGGAACATGAGACTCACCTTCTCCTTCTGCTCGATAGCCTCCTTATTCTCGGTAGCCTGCGCCTCCAGCTTCCCCTCCGTATTCTCCAGACGTTTCCGCATCCCCTCCATGTTTCTCTCCCACTCCGCCCTCTCCACCTCGGCCGCCGACTTGACATCCTCCAGCTCCTTCCGCAACACCGCCAGTCGACCGTCCTTTACCGCCAGCGACTTCTTTGCCGGTGATGGCGAAGCCGCAGCAATGGGCTGCACCACTTCTGGAGCAGGCCCCGCCTTCCGCTTTTTCGTCTTGGTCTGAGGCATAAGTCGAGCGACAATGTTCTCCGCCGTCTCGACGGGTTTGGCGTCTGGCTGAGGGTATGCCATGACCGCTGCGGGGTCGTCCTCGTCCATCGGCTCTTCCGCCTTGGTTGAGGGCCCAGCGACTGGCGCATCTAAAGGGACCTCCATCAAGCTCAGACGCTTCTTCTTCTGCCTCTTTTGCCTGCTGTCCGACCGCTTCTTGGCTTTGCCGCTGTTCGCCGTGGACGTAGTGGCGACGCTGTCGGCCGTAGCTGCGCTCGCCGCCGATGGTGTCCGTGCACTGGCTGGCGGAGCAGAGGTGCTGCCGCTAGCCATGGCATTCTCGACGGCCTGGTTGACGACCGCGGTACTGATAGACTGACCACCGAAGGACGAATTCCGCTTCTTGTGCTTGTGCTTCTTGCCGGTAGGAAGGGAGGAGGACGGGCCCAAGGTCAAGTCGGAGGTGGGCTTGCGAGGGGGATAAGGGGAGGGGGTTGAGCCTGAGCGCTTCGAGTGGGGAGCTGAGGGCATCGTAGCTAGCTCTACCGATGGAGAATGGGGATGTGTATCTGACAGAAGTATGAGGAAGGAAGTCAAGCTATCCGCTACAGGCGAACAAGCTGCAGAAAGTTGCGAGCGACGCGACACGCGACACGCAGTGGACTAGTGGACGCGCACGGGCTAGCGGACTCGCCAGGATCTCCGAGGAATGTGATAACTCGCCTAAATCCACGTCATCCTTAGAAGGTAAAGTCAAAAATGCCTTTGCAGACAGCCTTTGCGGTCCACCTTCACTTGATATCATCGACCAGCTCTACTATCATATACCACCTAGACATCCCTCATAGTACCGCAAAGCCAACAGATCATACAAGATGGCGCACAAATCCCACAGGCAGAAAGCCCTGCAATCGCAGCTCGAGGGTCCCCGCGAGATCTCCCTCGTCTCTCAACCTTCCGCCGCTGGACCGTCCAAGCCCAAGAAGTCCATCTCGGCTCCATCAGCCGAGGATGGCATGGAAGTGGACTCGGATACCGACGATGTCCTCATCAATCAATCCTCCGCCCTCCATACCGACCCCACGATGCCGCCGGATGCGGCTGCCGCGCTCGTCTCGTCCTCTTCTGGCTTTGCGCCACTATCTGCCAAAGCGCAGGCAGTGGGAGGAATCAAGAATGAGTTTAGGAGAATACCGGTGCCGGATCATAGGATGACGCCTATGAAGCGGGAATGGGTGAATATCTATACGCCGCTCGTGGAGCAATTGGGATTGCAGGTGCGGATGAACCAAAAGCGGAGAGCGGTTGAGATCAGAGTGAGTACGGGCTTGCTAGATGCTCTCAAGGTTACAAAGCTGACGGGAGTAGAGCTCAGGTCACACTATCGATACCGGAGCTATCCAGAAAGGAGCGGACTTTGTCAAGGCGTTTGCTCTCGGATTCGATGTCAACGTAAGCTCTCCCCAGCTGAACCTGGCGATGGAGCTAATCTTCAGGACGCTGTTGCTCTCCTGAGATTAGACGACCTCTATCTCGACTCCTTCGAGATCAAAGACGTCAAAACTCTCCATGGAGACCATCTTTCGCGAGCGATCGGTGTGTCTGCTCCTTGATCTGTACCTCAGCAAAGCTGATCCCCTCCAGGCCGGATAGCAGGAGAAGGTGGAAAGGTAAAATTCACGATTGAAAATGCTAGCCGAACGCGTATAGTACTGGCAGACACGTAAGCCCAATCTCTCTGATCTTGCCTTGCCGAGCACCTGGCTGATCTCACAGCAACGTACATATCCTCGGCTCGGTCCAAAATATCAAGATCGCACGAGATGCTATTGTTTCGCTCATTCTTGGTTCACCTCCAGGTCAGTCTCTATCCCACGCACGGCGAGATGCGAGCTTCGTAAGCAGTAGCTGACGCTGTTAGGCAAGGTGTACGCCCATCTCAAATCGGTCGGAGCGAGGATGAAGCAGCGCTTCTAGTCTATTCTCAGGGCATCTTTCCGGTCATCTATGGTCGTCGATTCGTATGATGTACAGTTCCTACGAAGTGGTGTGCAGAGATGTAGTCCACCATGCTTCGTGCGTTGAGCCACCGCAATCTACCGCTCGGCCGGTGTTGCCGTAAAGCACCGTGACGCAGTCCGCAGTACGCCCTTTTGGGCGCAAGGTAACTACCGTACATACCATAATCTACACTTTGGACATCACATCAACCAGATATCTCGCGACCGCTTGGTCCCGATATGTAAGAGCGGGCCCAGGATCACGGCTCAAGAGCCTACCATAAGTCTACCATCGGAATCTGAATGGGCTGCAACACTCCGGGAACTCCGGTCTGAAACATGTTTCACCTGACGCGAACAGGCTCGCTCGCACGAAGCCTTCAGTGTGCCGATCACTGTGCGGAAATGTAACGGTAAGTACTGGTCTCTGACTACACGAGATCGATCTCTTCGGGAAAATCGGCGCCCGAGAGGGATCGCCAGCTACTGTACATGGCTAGAGAACACCTCCAGATCGGATTGACATTCACATTTCACTAATAACCCTTCATCTCCTTACTTGCGCGAGCGTATACACTGCCTCGGCCTCGTCATCACTTCCCTGTCTCACCCACGATCCCTCATTGCTTGCTCGACCATTCATCCTGTTCTTTCCCATCACGACGGGGCTCGACGAGGCGGACACCTCTGATTACCGGCCTTCGATACGTTCGGTACGTCCACGCCAACGGGCCGAGTCTTCCGCACCTCGGCGTGCAGCACAGGAGATCTTGACGCTAGATCTCTACCGCTATTCCATTGGCACGGATGCCGAAGGGTGATCGGTAACGACTAGATCTCGGCGGTATCCCAAGTCCTGGGCACGCTGCACGGTGCACGCTGTCGAGCGTGTTTCAGATCTCGTCAATCCACACTTTTTCGGAGCCAGATCCTGGTGAGGTGGCCGTATGCCTTCCAGAAGCGTGCCACGATATAAAGTCGTCGTCGTACGCTCAACTGTCGCCCCTCATTCCCTTCGCGTTCCCGACCCCACCACACAGCATACCGCTTCTACTTCCCTGGTCACCCCTCCGCCGTACATTCTTGGGGACCTAGCAAGGGTGGAGGCAGGATGGGCTTCACTCTGAGTTATGATGAGATGCGAGTAAGTCTCATCTCCTCTCCCGTTTTTGGTGTCGCTGACGGTGTAGGTGGCATTGACGATCGCTGCCGGCTTTGCGGGATTCACCATCTTCCTCTCGCTCGCTATCCTCCTCCTTTCGCTATGGATCTACCGTACGCCGCTTGCTCGACCATGTATCGAGCGCGTGAGCTGGAAGCTGTTCATGGTCATCCTTGGCATTCAGGTGGTATGGTCTACCACGTATCTGGTCACCTATGCAGATCCAGATGTAAGTGGTTTCTGCTAGACAATACTGTGTGTCTGCCGGAAGACAAGACCGAGAACGAGCGTTGGAAAGCGAGCGTCGAGGAGCGAAGCTGATGATGCAGATGGCGAGCCGTGTCGGGCAGTGTCGCCAAGCATGCTCGACAGTCATGGTCATCATGATGGGCTCTCGCTTGACGTGAGTTGCAGGCACTCTCGACTACGTCATCTCGGTCATACTTCTCTACATGTATGAGGTCGAGCTGACACACATCAGTGTCTCCTGGTTGATCGCTTCGATCGCTATCAATCTTGCTCTGAGCGTCAGGTGGAATGTCAACTCGACCAAGCGGGGTAAGTTGTTCACCGCCCATCTCATGTCGTCGATCATAGGATTATGGACTAATATAGTAGGTCTGACCAAGTGGTATGCTATCAGCTCAGCCATTGCTGGCTTCACACCGCCTATCGTTTCTGCTGCTTTGGGACACTTCGGTGGTGGATTCTACAAGACCTGGTATGTTTGCTTATCATAAGCCGACGAGCTCCCGCTGATAGTCTCAGCTACTTTACGTCGTCGACGTGTGAGTCTATGGACTCGTGGCCGGGCGCCTCGCACCGACTCGAGCTGACACTACAGCGCACCCGCTGAGGTCATACTTTCTCCGCATCTTTCTTGGCTTTGTGAGTCACCTCACGTCTCACCTTACAATGGCGGGACTGTGCTGACCGTTCAGCATGTCTGGTTGGGTTTAGCTACCATCGTCGCCCTCATCGCCGTCACCATCGTAAGCCATCCCTTCTGTTCTAGCGGGGTCGACAAGCCTAGAAACTTACTGCCTAGTCTCTGACCAGCATCTTTACCCAGTCCCGCCGCACATCTCGTCTCATCAGGCAATCCGCGCGGCTGAGTCACGCCGCCCTCCAGCCCGACATCAACATCGGTCTCGACGAGAAGAGCCTCGGAGCGTATTCGGCATCCCGGCGGAGCTCCTACACCTGTTTTGGCCGCCGAGCGAGTGATGCCACTATACGGCCCGAGCCTTATCGCCGCATGTCGATGTACGCGCTGGACGATGCATTCCTCCGTATCGCTCTGCGCGTGGCGGTATACCCCGTGGTCGCTGTTATTCTCAATACCTTCTATATCAGTGAGTACGGACCGAAGATGCATGGTGGAGGGGCATGTAGCTGATATGGAAGCGACCGATCTGCTTAGGAATATCAGGCCCCAGCAATTATCGGACTCGTATGTCCCGGTGTATATGGCCGGCCTGGTGCTTTACGCCGGAAGAGGAGCTATCTTCGCTTTGGTATGTTTCAGCTATATTTGCACGATGTAGTATCAGCTGACACTTGCCAGGTGGCCATCTCAATCGATCCTTGCTTCCACGAGGTAAGCCAGGCAGCTTTACTCCGGAGCTAGTACGGGGCTGACTGCAGCAGGGACTGAAGGCCGCTTGGAAAGCGAGAAGATCAGTGTCGGGCGATGAGAGTCATCAAAATGTGAGTGCTGATCACAAAGATCTAGCTTCACTCCTTGTACTGACTACTTAGGGCTCTCGCCCCTTCAATCCACATCTCCGCTCTCCCCTGCCCGGCACGCCCACTCGGAACCTCCTCGAACGAGTCTCGTCCCCTCCCGAGTGTTCATTCTGGGACATGATCCAGCCTGTATCAAGCGGAAAGCACACAACGACGCTCACTCCGCCGGTCTCGCCTCTCATGCTCGTCGTCACGCCCATAACGACCTTCGCGGGCTCCACAGACGGCTATCAGATGGACAACCTGAGTCCTACTTCAAGCATAGAGCTCCAGTGGGCGAAGATGCCGGAGCAGAGCGGCACAGAGTCTGAGGGGGACGAGGCAGCGACGTGGACGATGCAAGACGGAGAGGGGAGCCTGGAAGTGGAGCTGGAGCCTGAGCCGGAAGGAGGCAGGGGAGGAGTGGCGGATGCGCAGATGGATAGGCTGGCGAGTGCGGACAGTGCGCTGAGTGTGGTGATTGCTGAGGTGGCGCAGACGTTTCCGACTTGTCCTCCGAGGTCGAGAGATAGTGGAGGCTCTGTGGATACCTTTGGGCTTAGGATAGGGGGGAGCGTAGCGGATCAGGAGGATGATCAATGGGAAGACGGCGAATTGCGGAGAAGTATATCTGACATGTAGCTGTAGCCTTAATATTTGATTTTTCTTTGGTTATTTCACGCTGCGTCGAGGACAGTTGTACTACGGTCGACCTGCAGGCGCCCGGTACTGAACCAAGTGCAGCTCCATGAGCGCGCATAGCCTTCCCGGCCGTCGCTGCAAAACAGATCGCGCGGGTGGCGAATCCGGAGATATCGCCACACTCCGCATGCCACCAGCGAAAAAAGGTTCCGTGCCTGGATTTCGCGTTTTGTTGAGGCTGGCTCTGCTGGTGGTGGTGGTACAAAGCAGCATACATCTTACTCGCTCACTACCTATTACAGCGTATACAAGATGGTGCGTCCGGGCCCTTGAGTGGATGGAGGAAACGTGGCACTGATCGAAGCAGAAACCGATCATTCTTCAAGGCCACGAACGGTCCCTCACCCAGATTGTCTTTAACGCGGAGGGTGACCTGCTGTTCACGGCGTCCAAGGACCCGGTGATCAACGTTTGGTATACCTCGAATGGGGAGCGATTGGGGACGTTTGAGGGACATAATGGAACAGTGTGGACTGTGGCTTGTGATTGTGAGTATGGAGCTGGTGGAAAAGGGGTGCAAGAGGGTGTCGAGGAGATGGTGATGGGCGTGCGGAATGAGTGCCGAGTGGAGGGAGCCGGAGGCCTGACGGGAGGAGATTACACGGAGTGGAGCTGCTGGGCTATGATGTGCTTCAGATGTCGGAGATAGGCTGGGTGGATTGAGGAGAGGGAGATGGAGATGGACACCGATGTAGGCAACAAGTCCAGAGGGTGGCTTGCTGCCCAAATTTCAACCAGCCTTGGATCGACCGCGCCCCTTCAGTAGGGTCTTAGCTGACTCCTGCAGCTCAAACGAAGTACATCGTTTCGGGCGCCGCGGACAGTTGCATGAAGCTGTGGGATGTGCGGACTGGGAAATGCCTGTTCACATGGGACTTCTTGACCGCCGTCAAGCGGGTTGCATGGAGGTGAGCCCTGTTTCTGTCGCCACTAATTGCCCCCTGGGCCGCTGTACGAGCGCCGGCTGACTCGTCTAGCGAGGACGACGACATGATTATGTGCATCACGGAGCAGCGTAGTGGCCAGCCGAGTGTGATCCGTGTCTACCAAATCAACCGGGAAGACATCTCTCAACGTACGCCTTGCCTTGTATATCCCGGGCATCAGGTCCATAGTTCCGATAGTAAAGCTAACTCCACAGAATCCAAAACACCTGTAACCGAAATGATCCTCACCGGCTCAAAAGCCACCGTCGCTCTCTGGGCACCCCTCTCCGACGCCATCCTCACCGGCCACGAATCGGGCAAAGTGGGCAAATACGACGTCAAGACGGGCGAGGAGCTCAACAACGTGCCAGCGGGTGAGGGGCACAAGGGGGAAATCACGGATATCCAGCTCAGTCCGGACGGAACGTACTTTGTTACCAGCAGCAAAGATAAGACTGCCCGGGTAGGTTTCTCTTTTCTGGTGAGGACGAGCAGTGCTGATGGTTAGTTATGGGACACGGCGACGCTGCAAGAGATGAAGCAGTACACTACTGAAACACCCCTCAACTCAGCCTGTATTGCCCCGTTGAGGCCATATGTCATTCTCGGCGGTGGGCAGGATGCGATGAGTGTCACGACGACGAGTGCGCGGTCGGGCAAGTTTGAGAGTCGGTTCTGGCACAAGCTGTTTGAGGAGGAGGTTGGGCGTGTTAGGGGGCATTTGTGAGTATTTGTTTCATTCAAGCGAGGATGAGGATTGGAGTCAGAGGGACGGGACGGGACGAGGATGGAGACTTGATGCGGAACCTGATCGGGGTGCTGTTTGCAAGAAGGTGTGCTGACATTCTCAGCGGCCCTATCAATACTCTCGCCGTGCACCCCCAGGGCAAGGCATACGCATCAGGCGCAGAGGATGGTTTCGTCCGGATCCACTGGGTGAGCTCGCATTCACAACTCGTAGAACTGACTGAGCTGACCGCTGCAGTTTGACGAGTCATACTTCCGCAGTCGGCCTTTTGGTGATCTCGAGCCAGAGGTTGAGTAGATGGTCTTAGGGGATTGTAGATATACCAAAATGCATCCGACGGATACTTAGCATATCCCCTTGCCAGCTTGGGTTTTCTGGAGCAGCACGATGCCGGGTCAGTCGTTCTTGGCAAGTCCAAGTGCTTCCTGCAGACAATCGAGATGGTCATTTCCTGCATGTCCCATACCCCTACACTCATGCTGCCGCCTCCGCTTTCCTCGCTGCGTACTCTGCATTCTCCCTATCCCGGTTGGTCTGTAACTCCTTCTTCCTGTCCGCCAGCAAGTGGTTTCTAGGCTTGTCAGCTGATGCTCGGGGACAATGAAGATATCGTCGAGGGGACAACTGACTGTCTTTGTTCCATGTGGTATACTGCGTATCCTATTCCCCCAAATGCTGCGGCTGCTCCGATATGACCGAGTGGTCCTGCTTAATCAGCCACACCGTTCCATGCTTCAGGCCAAGCCATCCGCCTGTATTCCGCCTCACACCGCTCGCTTTCCGCCTTCTGGCGGGTCTGGGCAGAACAGTCTGCCGCCCTATTCCGCAAACCCCTCGCTTCCTAGCTTCCCAGGTCTCAACACCTTGGTAATTGCTCTCCATACAATCCTGAAACAGCCACAATACTAACGTGTGAACATCCCCTCCTTCTGCAGACCGAGCTGGAAACATCTGACGCCGAAGCCGAAGGCGCTGAAACCGAGGACATTGGCGAGGAGGGACATGGTGGAGGAGTTTGCGTCCTGCGGGTTTCGCTGGGACGATAGGATCGGTTCTTTTTCGCGGAGAGGCTAAAGGTCGGCTTCGCTTAAGCTTGTAGCAGTGATAGCTGCTTGTCGTGCTTGTAGATAGAAGAGTGTATAGGGTATGAAGCTATAGAAGTATGCGATGAATAGCTGGTAGTGATTGAGGAATTAGGTATAGCGGGATCTAATTTTGGGTGTACCTTTTTGGTCCCGGCTCCTCCCGACTGCTGCTGCTGCTGTCTTTGCTAACGATCCTATTTGCTATTGACTCTAATTACATCCCTTGACTGTATCCATATCATCACCTATAATGCGTCCATCACAGGCTTTGTCAAGTGGAACGACTCCTACAGGTGAGCTTACATGCGCACTGTTGTTCGATGCGAAGCGGCGGCAAGCTGACGTTTACAGGGAAGACATATGTGAGTTCCGACTGTCGACTTTTGACTTCTCGAGATACCGCGGACGGCGGTGTCGCTGGACTGGGGATGACACGGGCTCTGGGGCAAACGATGAAGGTGCTGACAGGATAGACCGGCTGGTGGGGTAATTTCTCGCAAACAAAGCAGAAGGGTATCGTTCAATACGGTTAGTCGCAGCTCATCTGACGAATCGCTCGGAACCCAGCTGACCGCGCTTCTCCTGCTCGCCAATCCCTACCCGATCCATATCTTACCGGTACTCATTACGCCATATCATCTCGTGTCCATCGCTCCTGCCACCCGCTTCATATCGACAGGTCTCTCGTCGTATCAGCAAAAACCATTCGCGGGTGTGTTCCGGGGATACCTCTTCGGCGGGTTCTCGCGGATCATGCACCAGATCCCATACTTTGCTCTTCCTTTCGCTTCCGGTAAGTCTGCATGCTGGCTGTGGGAGAGATGATGTCTTCGTTGATTCCCGGGCGGAATTGCCGCGGATGGATCTAGGCAGCTCGGGGGAGATTTTGGGATGGAAACGGCGGCGGAAAGAATGCAAAGTTCTTGGGGTTGCAAGCTGGCCGCGGTGTCGAGGTGCGGACCGGCAAGACACGGAGGCGATCAGCACAGGCGGATTTGTCGGATTGACGGATTCCTTTTATGGAACGGGGAGTTGGATGATCTGGTGCTCTATCTGACATCGGCCCGAATCTCGCCCGCTCACCAACTTTTCGCCTGTCTTCTTGACTTTCGTATCTCCACACAGCTTTGGAAAATGCTGATCCTACAGGCTACTTTGTTTACACCTGGGGCAAGACGAAGTACGAGTACTACAACTCCAAGGAGGGTCACCACGCCATGGCTCACAGCGAGGGCCACTAGGCGGCGGGCCGGGGTGTGAGGAGATGCATCGATACTAGAATTACAGGGATGTGGGGCGTACCATCTCGAGACTTGCATCACACCGCTCTGGTTGAGGACCGAGCTCTTCATGGCTGCTTCCTAAGGCACCCCCTGAAGATTGAGGTGGACGGGAGTATATTTGGTGAGACCTTTGCGCCTCTCGAGAGAAGCTTGTCCCCGCGTCCGACAAGGGAGATTGATTACTTGAATGACCATACCATACATCTCCATTGACCATATACACTACACTGCCCGTCCCGTCCCGTCAGAGCAGAGCAAAGGGACGCGACAATCGCGCAAAGACCAATTTGCGATAACAGGCCAAAAGTCCTCGGGTCCCACGCTCAGATCAACACAAACATCGACCGGCATCTTTCGCAGATTCGCGCTTTGTGTCGTAAAGGCGCAAGCAAGCCACCTCCCCTCCTCACTCCTTCAACTCCGCCTATAGCGCTCCCCCACCAGACCTCCGCCAGCATGTCGTCCAACCCTATCACCTCCGTCGCGCCCTCTTCCTCCCCAATCACCTCGGTCTCCCAATCTGCCCCCCGCCCACTCGCCGCAGGCCACAACAACCCCGCGCACTTCACCCGTCTCAACCTCGAGCTTCGGGGTCAGCTGTTTCCCGTCGATCGGGAGACGCTGATGCTTCTTCCGGAATCGGTGTTGCTTGGTCTGTTCCCGCAGGGTTTGGTTCTGAGCAAGCCGGCATCGTGGGAGGGTGGAGATGATGGTGTTTTCGCTGTTGACGTGAGTGATACTCCATTATCTTTCATCACCTAAATCGCTTGTCGCTATGGACCATCGAACCCGTGGCTGCGCTATCTCCTGCTGACGCTCGATCAGTTCGACCCCGACTGCTTCAACTACATCCTCTCCTTCTGGTCCCGCGCCCAACTCCACTTCTACGGCACGCCCACCACCCCGGGCCTCTTCCACGCCCAAAAGCACATTGTCGAAGCAGCGGCCCAAGCAGCCGCCTCATCCCCCACTTCCGCTTCCGGCCCCAACTCCGAATCGACCCAAAACCCCCTGCTTTCCAAACAAGCCATCATCGTCCTTCGCGAAGAACTGGAGTACTTCTCCATAACGACGCCCGGGGCGCTCGCGAGCGTGGATAAGAATGGGATGGGAAATGAGGAGCTGAGGGAGATGAAGCGCGCGTGTGGCCGGGCGCTGGAGGAGCGGCGGACAATCTTTGCGGCGTTGCAGCGGAATGTCAACAAGGAGAATAATCTGGCGGAGCAGCACTTGATTGATATGCTGTGTATGAGGTGAGTGCTGCTTTTCCGAATCTACGAAAGCACGGGGGACACTGGGCCGTGTTCATTGCTGGGCAGAGAAGGCGGAGGTCAGCAGTTAGGAGGGGCGATAGAGGCTTGCAGATACACCTCAGTCCACTGTCAGTGCTGACTCTTCAGCGGCTTCGACCGGACCGACGAATGGGGATACCGCGCGTGCGAGCCCAATCGCAACATCATCTCCTCTATGGCCCTCGTCCTCCTCAAGACAGGCATCCACCACCCCGAACCCGGAACGACCGACCCCGCCACCGGCGAAGCGGCGGTCCCTACCGTTGATGCTGGGCAAATGGCTACGGCGCAAAAGCTGCTCTTGTTCTGGCGCAAGCCGGCTGTAAGTCCTCGCCCGAGGTGTAATGTAGGAAGAGAGGCTGATGAGGCAGAGGAAATGCTGGTGGGACGGTATCGAGGTGGACGTGCCCAAGTCGAGCAGCAGCAAGGAGATGATGAAGGTCAAAGTATGGGCGAGGCGGGTATGGACGTTGGAGTTGTCTTTGGTGAGTCTGATGACCTGCAAACCGCTGGGCGAGGAGACTTGCTGACGGACTTAGATCTAGGACAATTCTCGGTCTCGGTCTCGCATCTCTCTCGGTTACGCTCTTCTCCAGCATATACGCAGTGTACCAGGTCTCTTCATCTTTTGTGTAATTATCCCCAGACGCGACGATCTTCCGGCTCCTCTCCATCGGTTACGTTCGGCATGTCTGCGTCAAGCCCCTACCGGCCCCAGGCACCTTATGCATCACTTATAATGTCAGACAAGTGGGCTCTCTGGGGCTTCCGCTTTTGCTATGACTCCTCCTTCGCCGTCCTCGCCCAGAACACCAAGCAAGGGACCGCCGGCGCCTCTGGCCATAGCTTGAGCTCGCCCCGGATCTCCGCATGCGCCTCGTCAAACCCGAGCGACTTGAGCTTTGTGTACATTTCGGAAGGGGTCATGGCGTTGTGGTGGATATGATGACCGTGACTTGCGGGCTGGAGCTGATTAGCACCCTTATACTTCTGAACGACTAGGCCCCCTCGAGCTCGTGCTGGTCAGAAGGGAATCCAGACTCACTTGCGCACCCTCGCCAGCCGCTTCCCTCTTCTTCGCAGCCACGATCTCCCTCGCCTCCTTGACTCTATCCCTCTCGCCCTCCTCCCTCCCAAATTCCGTCCCTACAAACCAGCCCCCAGGCACCAGCAGCCCCTGTACCCCAGCCATCATACCCGCCCAATCGTCCACATGATGCAGTACCAAGTTGGCTACTGCTACCCCGTACTTGGCGTGCGGAGGCTGGAGTCGCCGGGCTTGTTCGGCCGGCAGAGGGGAGAGGAGGGGCGTGAGGAATTCAGACGGGGACGAGGGCGAGAGGAAGTGGAGAGAGTGCGTGATGTGGGGGTTGGAGTGTCGAGAGGCGAATGTCAGGAGCATAGAGGGGGAGACATCGATAGCGTGGATGGAGGAGAAGTGGGGGACGAGATTATCGGTCACCATTCCCGGTCCTGAGAAATCAGCTGTGCGCGAGGTAGTTGGGTGATCAAATTGCTTCCAGTGGCTCAGTATGACCTGAGGCCTCGTAAGAAGGCTTACAACGCCAAGGGGGAAAGGAGCCGGGGTCCTACGCACCGCATCCAACCTCGAGCAGATCTATTCGCTTGGTGTCCTCCCTTGACATCCCGGTTTGCTGCAGCGCATAGAAAATGCTATCGGCGGATAAGAGCGCGACCTCCTTGCTATAGGCCGATCAGCACTCCATTCTGTCGCCGTTGAGATCCCCACCCGTACGCCGACGTTGAGCGTAGCTAGCTCGCAGACCGTTGACTTGATTGCGAGAGCAAAGGACGCCTGGGGAGAGGTAAGCTACTCACGCGCCTGGCTTGGCGATATACTCCTCTCCATTCCACTCATCCTCCGCTGGTTTATGACCATGTGAATGTCCATGTCCGCCGTGACCGTGCTTGTGACCGTGCTCGTGTCCATGGGCAAAACCAGGGGTATGGGCAGGAGGAGCTGCACCGATGGGCAGGCCCTCACCCACTCCCGCTACCTCGACCGTTCCGTTTCCGCTCATGCTGAACTTTTGGGCGATAGCTCAGAGGCTAAAGATTACCGATAGAGAGATAGTAGTCGTAGGTAGGAACGGTGGGAAGAGGTATAAAGCCTGGAGCCGTTTTATGACTTCTGTCCTTTCCTGGTTCGTCCGGAGCCCCACTTGCAAGGCGAGATGCAACACCGGGAGGGCATTACTGCTCTGGAGTGGGGATGCTACCCACCCGGTAGCGAGTGAAGAATGGAGACGATATACATCAAGCCTGTATGAGTGTGTATTACAACTTGGCCGCCCGCCGCCTCGCCCAAAAGACAAGATTCGGCACAGCTGGCGCTTCGGGCCACATCTTCTGCTCGCCCCTGATCTCCGCGTAGGCCTCATCAAAGCCGTACGACTTCAGCTTGCTGATCATCTCCTTCGGCGTCATAGCTCCATGATGGATATGAGCGTGGGCTGCCGGCTGAGACAGTCAGCCTGGTCCACGTTCTATTTGCACTGAATCAACATACCCCTTCTTTGGCGCCATGCTCCGCTGCTCGGCCGGACTTCTCGATCAGACCCTCGACGACGTCCTTCTCGCCCTCGACCTTGCCGAATTCGGTGCCGATAAACCAGCCTCCCTGCTTGTCCGCTGCACCACCCGCCAACAGCCCCTGTACACCAGCCATCAGCCCGCTCCAGTCCCCTACGTGGTGCAAGACCAAGTTGGCGACCGCCACGTCGAACTTCGCTCGGGGAGGCTGAAGCTTCCGTTCCGGCTCATTTCGAGTAGGCGAGACGAGCGGAGTGAGGAAGTCGGTCGGAGAAGAGGGAGAGAGGAAGTGCAGTGAGTGGGTGATCCGGGTGTCGGCGAGGCGGGCGGAGAAGCCGATGAGCATGTTGGAGGATACGTCGACCGCGTGGAGGGAAGCAAAGTGGGGGAAGAGGTTGGCAGTGACGAGTCCAGGTCCTGAAACAGTAGTCAGCCTTTGCTACCCTTATTCAAAACACGCAGAAAAACACGTACCGCAGCCTACTTCGAGCAAGTTGAAACGCTTTGTGGTGTCCTCCGAAGCACCGACCTGCTGCAGAGCCCAGCGGATACTATCAGCAGACAGAGCCGCTACATCCTGTCTGGCTCTGGTTAGAAACGACGATATACACGTTGTGAAAGAGCGACATACGCCCCAGCCATGCCGATGTACTTGTCGGCGTCCCACTCGCCGTGCGGGTCCAGAGGCCGGCTATGATCGTGACCGTGTCCTTGGGAGTGGGCGTGGTCATGTCCGTTATGCTCTGTCGGATGGCTGTGATGGCCCCCGTGGGGTGCTGCACCATCGTACTGGTGGCCGTGAGAGTGATCGTGGCTGAGCTGAGGGCCGTCATGCTCTGGAGCGGGTGTAGTATTGGGTGATCCGGCCATATTGCTGCTGCTGCTGCTGCTGCTGCTGATGCTGTGCGTTGTGAAGGATCGGTGACGGGAAACTGCAAACGTCTCCCCGGTCACCTGACCACCTTATGTATCTGACCGAGGTAGACACAGAGCAAGCTTCGGGATGCAGCCGGGCGCTGTGTGGGCCCCCTCTCGGCGGCCGTGCGCCGGCCGGAGCTACCCCGGAGAATTAGTGAAACTCACCATTCCGTGCGTCTGAGGAATGTGGAGTTGGCGCTCTCGTCTGCGAAGCTTGAGCGTTGTTTCAGTGGCACGTCTGTACAGTTTCACATCATATGCATAAGGGGACATTATCAATACGGTACTACAAATACTAGCTACTTTGGCCACATTCTGCTTACTGCTCTACAACTACTGCTCTACAAACTACAAAAGACATCAAATCCAGCACCGCGATCCGCCGCAGCACCTCCCGCGCCCCCTCGACTCCCTTATCCCCGGACTTCCGCCCACCCCTACTCGATCTTGTTGTCCACCTTGACAGTCACTCCAGGGTAATCCGGGTGGTGAAGATCCCAATGACACCGCTGCCACAGCTGCTTTGCCCCATGCTTCTTCCGCAGCTTCAGCATGAGAGCCCGCCTCCCCTCCGGCCCCTGCTGTTCAAGGTAGTGCTCCATGTACAGCTTGGCCCACCTCATCCGCCTCCCTACTGGGTCAGGATCGTTGAACCACCTTTCCTCACGCCCCAACCACTTGTTCCGCTCGATCCGGAGGAGGTCGTTCATACGGTCGATATGGTGCTGCGCCCAGCTTCCGTCCATCCGAATATCGGCGGCCGGGACCTCCATAGTCTTGATTGGGGCGCAAAGAGGGTAAACGGGACCCTTCCTGCGAGTCTGACGTTCCGTGACGAAATTGATCATCTCGTTGAAGTAGCGTCGGTCGTCCCAATCCTCATCTTCCGCGCAGGCAGGAACATCCCACCTCTCTCCTTCCGCGAGCAACACCTTGCCGATCGCATCGACGACGACCTGCTGATTCTCCGCCATCCAGGGATGAAGCCGTCCTTTGCCCTTGAACCTCGCTCGGTCCTTCTGCTGCATCCACAGCTCGAACGGGACATGCGTCGCCCACTTGAGCGTCCGGGTTGGCGGCGGCTCCACCCATACCTCGCCGCGCTCCCGAGCCTTCTTCCGCTCCATTTTGCGGTACCACTTCTCGGGCCGCTCCCGGAAGTCCCACATGAGGATGTTGTCGAGGGACTTGAGTGAGCCGAGAGGTGGGTTCGGGGACCGGTGGGGTTTGCGACGGTGCGTAGCGCGCTTGACAGTTTTGGCGCCGAGGGGGACAAAGTGGTAATGGAACTCTTCGAGTTTGCCCTTCTTGGCACTCTGTCGAAGCTGTCTGTCAGCACTGATCTTGCGGGATTACACGAGGAAGCCAGGGGTGAGGATGGGGATAGAACAGAGAAGGAGGGATCCTGTCCAAGCAGACGGAGTAAAAGGGAGAGAAGCACGAAAGAAAACCTGAGGGGAGGACCAATCTTGACATGACTCACCCTAAGATACAAGTTCATCCAGTGACCCCTGATACTCAACACTTTCATACACCCCATCCACGCCTCCATCATGCAAGACAGCACGTCCGGCCCCAGCTTATCCCCAATCTTCCACCCCAGCGGCGGAATCCAGCCCTTTGGCATACGGTTCCGATCCGCAATCTGCAGCCACCTCTTGTCCGCCAGGCTGAACTCCCGCTTGAGGTCGTCATTCTCCCCAAAAAGCTCCGCCCATATCTCCCGCCGCCTGCGCTCGTCCGGAGCAAGTAGCTCGAGGCTCTTGTGGTCCAGGTGCATGTACCGGCGCTCGAGAAGGTAGATGAATCCGGCGATCCGGTCCTCTGGGTTGGTCGTAGGCTCGAAGGGGTCGTCTTTAAGGAACCAGGGACTGGCGTTGCTGTGGTGGAGGGGGATCTGGACCGGCATGGAGTCTTCGTTAAGACCGGTCTCTTCGAAGTCCGCCTTGTCCTCATCTCCCTCCTTGTCCTCTCCCGCTTCCCCGCCTGTTGTCGCGTCATTGCAAGCGATCTCCTCCTCGTCCCCAATTTCCTCGACGTCGCGCTTCCGCTTGAGCGCGGCTGATGCCTGCGGCTGGTACGTGGTGCCGAGTGCGGGCTGCATGGAGACGTTGAGAGGTTCCGATGTGGTGAGGGGTTGCGAGGAGCCGGTTGGCGACCGAGATCCCGCGGCCGAAGGACCATTGACCGCCTCCTCTTCTCCGTCCGCCGACATCGCTCCGTCCAGCTTGGCCTTCTTCTTCGAATGGACCGGCTGGGCGACCGCCGAGTCGACGGCTTTCGCCTTTGTCGGACGGCCGTGTTGGTGCTCTCCGGTCCCCACCGTCCCAAACGTCATCTGTCCCCGCGGGGCCTGCTTAACACTGCCCCAGCGCCTGCCCCGCTCGGAGGTGAAATTCATCGCCCTTGGTCGTCTTTCCCCCGTCATCTTCTCCAGCCCGACCATCGCCTGGCCTCCTTCGGACGTATTGAAGAGTCCCATCTCGTCCTCCGGATTGATGACGACCTTGAATTTGTCCTCGGAGCCAAAGTAGCCCCAAGGCAGCCGGAGAGCGCGAGCGACCGTATCGAGGCTCTGTCTGTCGATGACGTGCTCGCCGGCGAAAAACTCAAACTCGAGTTCAGTAGGCGCGAGGAGCTTGAAGACCTCCTCCATCTTGGCCAACTCCAGCTCGCCGAGATCCTCTGGTGCGAAAGAGTGGAGGATGGTGAGGCGATGGATGGGGACGGGGACGGTGCGGGGGTCAGGCGCACTTTCCTCCTTGTCGGCCGGCTCGAGACCGAGTATGGGGACGGGCCTTTCCTTCTCCCGGAGACGGTGGACGGCGTGGACGAAACTGCGGAGGAGACGATGGACGAATGGAAGGGAGACTTGTAGGGTAAGGGAGAGGTGCTTCGTCGATCCAATAGGGATCCAGCGTTCGATATGATGGGTCGCGCGCTACTGGTCAGCTCTGGCTCTTGATCAAAGAACTGTCTACTACTCACTTCGGCATCCTTCTCTCCGACGATAACGACCTCATTCCACCCCTTCTGGGTTCCCGTCCACCATGACTTGCATACCTTTCCGTAATCAAATAGCTGCTTGCGCATGACCGCCGTCTTGTACGCCTTGATCTCGCCGTTCGTCAGGCGCTCATTGGTCAGGGTGCCGACCCATGGATCCCGCCCTTTGATCGGCACAGAGGGCAGCGGGGTGTCCATGACGAGCTGGTGGAGATGTCCAAAGATGTTCTCCAGGATCTCCTCGGACGCACGTTGAGCGGGAGAGGTCCATCCCGGCGGCCTCGGCTGAGTAGGAAGGAGGATACGCGAAGGGGCCTTAGGCTTGGCGAACCGGTCCGCGTCGCGTGTATAGGCCTCGAATGTCGCTAAAGACACCCCGCGCGGGGCTGTCCAGTCCCGGTAGGTATCGCCGATAGCGTATTTGTAGATTGTGGGTTTGGGCTTGACCTCCTTCCGCCGCATCGCCTTGAACAGCCCGCGCTCCTTCCGTGGGATATCCTTCTTGAGGTGGGGCTTGGGCAGGATGAGCTTGGGCTTCTCAGCTCCGGGAATGGGGATTGGGCCGAACGCCGGCTGCCAATCCGAGCGGGACGCCGGCTGAGGGTATCCCGGTCCAGTGTACGGTCCGGCTCGGAAGGTGAAGGCAGGGAGAATGGGCTTGGGTCGGGGAGGGACGATGGTGGGAGGAGGCCACCGACGGGAGTATGGGCGTAGTGAAACCGGGGGGAAATGTGAAGCGAAAGGCTCTTTCCCTGCGGGGTACAGGCGGCTCGAGCGGCCAATAGGATGTGTTGTATGCCCATTGTCTGTTATCCCGCGGAACTCAGTCCCGGGTGCACTAGCTTTCGGCCTGCCGCCGCCGGCCGAAATGTGCACCCCATCGGGCAAGGGCTGATTTGGGTCCCAGTCCTGATCGATCCGGGGGCGTTTGGCCGCGGGACGGCTGTTTGAAGCGGCGGCGGGACGGACGGGGGAGCTTGGGCTGAGGAGGGAATCTAGAGATGCCGACGACGCCGACCGCTTGTTGAGCGGAGCAGTCTCGGTCATTGTGGGGTTGGATGGAGGAGGGCTGCTCGAAGGGGGCAGTCCGGGAGGGAGGTTCAGGACGATGCTGCGGTGTCAGCTAACCCCATGATATGGATTGTGTCGGGAGCGACAAGAGAAGCAGGCAGGGCAAGTGCGGGGAGGATGGTGGCGAGAAGGGCGTGAGAGATACAAGAAGAGATCATGACTCACCAGTGAAGCTTAGGCGCGTCTCTGCTGTGTATCTGTTAAAGACAGGAAGAGGGGAATGAGAAGACGAGGGAGTAGAAGGGGAAGGGTGAGGAGAGAAGATGAGAGGCAAGAGAGAAGAGAGAAGACGAGGGCTCAGACCTAGTCAACCCAACAAGGTGGCGAGCATTCCGGCTATATCTGCATGCCGAGTCGACTTGCTGAGCTAAGGTGAGTCAAAAACGAATGGACAGTGGCGAAGGTGAGACACTTCCACGCGTAGCGGATCCGACATGCGGATCTGTGAGTCATCGTGAGATGTGGCGGTAGCGTGACAGAGCGTCCGCGACGGTATAATAAGCGCTGCACATCGCGGAGAGCGGCTCAGTGGTCGCGATGCCTTCGCAAGAGATGAGAGGAATGAGGAGGAAGTCAACGCTCGAGTAACGACCGAAACAAGCCGGAAATTCAGCTTACGACGTCCGGCCGGTCGGATTTTCGGGGCATTTCCGGTCTCAGCTATTGGCCGCATGCATTCCCGCTCACTCTCGTGCATGCACACCCACATCCCTCTGCATGTACAAGGCTGCAGGATGCACCTCCTCTACATGCGCGTACTTGAGCTTCGATCATCCGGCCGCCGTCTTGTGGGCCCCCTTCATCGGTTTGCCCAAGCCCGCAACGCCGTTTACGCAACTTGAGCGACATCATCGCTTTGACTTCGTAGGCTGTGCAGATGTTTGCAGCGACCTCGCACGTATAAGTAAGGGCAGCGAGGTCTTCCTTTCTCACTGACCGTCCTCTTTCGCCCAGCCAACTCGTATCGTCGGAGTTGAAAGGACACTTGCATCACTCAGAGCTAAGGTGGCAAACGATCGCTTTGTTTGGTTTCACATCAAACTTTACTTTCTAGTCTCAGACGTGAGTGCGAGTGGTCGCAGGGAAACGGGCTCGACGCTGACAGAAGCAGTATCATCTACACCTTCCTCTGAGTTCGCTATAGAGATATCTTCAGCATCATGCTCGTCAACGCTATCCTCCCCCTCGTCCTCCTCAACTCCCTCGCCTTTGCCCTACCCTCATCTCCCAACGCCGACGCAGAATTTCGGAGAATTGCCAAGCGAGCCCTTGCTCTCCGTCTCGTCAAAGACATAGAGGAGCAGACACGGGACGGTGGAAAGGTGGATCTGGATACTTTGCTCTCGCCGCAAGAAAGGCAGTTGCTGGGTGGTGGCGATGAATATGCGCCATATCAGGTGCCATGTCCGACCGGTTGGAACTGGGTCCGATCAGCAGATGTAAGTCTAGCCAAGTGACAGCTATTGAGGGGCATCTGAGCTGACTGTCCAGTCTCTTGGAGTTGGAGAGCAAGCGTACTTGGCTCAACGCAAACCCTACCTCAATCCTGCGATCAACAAACAGCTCGCACGAGTCGGCCTGCCTCAGCCGAACCGGACACCGGTCATAGGCTTCGCTCTGAGCGGAGGTGGGTACCGGGCTATGCAGTACGTCATTCAGATACCGTTGCTGGGATCAAACGCTGATGTGACAGGGTCGGATCTGGTGGTGTGATGGCGACGATGAACCAGTCCTCCGAGGCGGCTGCGAGTGGGATTGGAGGATGGTACGAAGGCGTTACCTATCAGGCAGGTCTGAGCGGAGGAAGTTGGGCTACTACGACGATGATGGCGAACAACGGCAGGCTGCCGACGGAACTCATCAACGATGTACGTCTGCATCAAATCTTCGTTTCTCACCGTGCTGATGACTGCAGGTGTGGAACCTTGAGTCCAACTTGGTCATACCCGACGATGGCAAATTGTCCTTCTATTACAACATGGTATCGAATGTCAGGGCCAAGGCGAATGCTGGGTTTGCGACGCAAATCGTGAGCTCCATCCCCACCATTCCCAGCTCTTCAACTGTTCAAGCGCTGATCATAATAGACGGACTACTGGTCACTCGCGCTCGGAGACCACCTTCTCCCATCTCAATACCATCTCGGCAACTCGCCAAACTATACCATCGCTCAGCTCCCTTCCAAAGTGCCGGGCTTGGCCAACGGGAGTCTGCCCATGCCTATCATCATTGCAGCCGAGTAAGCGTTTTGCCATGATACTTCTAAGAGCATAAGCTAAAGAACAGGCGTGAGCTGAATGAGATCGTCATCCCGGGCAACGCTTCCGTCTACGAGATGACGCCTTATGAGTTCGGTTCATGGGCATTCGGGAGTCAGCGCAAAGTCCGGGGAGCGTTCACTCCGATCGAGTACCTTGGGAGTTCCCTCAACAACGGGCAGCTCAACGGCTCCTGCTACAAGGGGTTTGATCAGCTGTCGTGAGCTTGATCCTCCCGTTTGCTGCACAGATCATAGCTGACATATCAGCTTCGCCGCTGGTACTTCGTCTACCCTTTTCTCTGGCGCCCTTCTTACCCTCACCGCATCCAATGCCTCTAGCATCATCGTCGACGCCATCGAGTCGATCTTGAAGGACATTGGGGAGCAGGACAACGATGTCGCTCTGTTCCCGAACTCCTTCGCGAACTGGAATCCCGATACCAACCCTGTAAGCCATATCTCACCCTGCACGAAGACTCCAGCTGACTGGTCCAGATCGCGGACTTCCCTTACATCACCCTCGTCGATGCTGGCCTGACCAACCAAAATATCCCCATTGAACCCCTCCTCATCCCCTACCGCAACGTCGACGCCATCATTGCCTTTGACTCTTCCGCCGACACCACCTACTCGTGGCCGAACGGTACTGCCCTGCGGCAGACTTTCGAGCGAGCGGAGATTCTCGCCCAGACGCAGGATGTCTCCATCCGCATGCCCAAGATTCCCAGTGCCAATGGGTTCATCAACGGCGGCTTCAACCAACGTCCAACAATCTTTGGTTGTGATGCGCAGAACGGGTCGACACCCCTCATCGTCTATGTTCCCAATTATCCTTGGTCATACTATGGCAACACGTCTACCGTGAGCTTCTCGTGCATGACGTTGCCGAATTGACGCTGATGAGACAGTACCAACTCGCATACGAGAAGGATGAGTCTACCAAGGTTGTCCTGAACGGTCTTCGATCTCTCTCGCTCAACGGCACCGTCTCATCCTGGCCCAAGTGTCTCGCCTGTGCCATGGCCGACCGGGCATACAACACCCGCCCAGCGGACTGCCAATCATGCTTCGACACCTGGTGCTGGGACGGTACGGACAACACGACCACTCCCAGCTCGGAATATGAGCCCGTCGTCGGGACACTACCGAGCTTCATCTCGTCCCGGAATCTGGGGTCCGCGGGGGCCGCGGTAGGCGCTAGCAATGCGGTAGCTGCGCAGAGCAGCTCGCCGGCTGCTTCGGCGTCGGTGTCGGCGAGTCAGGGAGCGGCGCAGGCGATGACATCGAGCGGGATGCTCGGATGGGGAGGAGCGATCGTGGGCGTGATGGTCGGCGTGATCTCGGGCGCGGTGGCAGTGGCGATCTAGGGTAGCATCTCACAAGGACTTTGCTATAATCTAATGTAGCCTATAGAGCATTTTCGGGTGAGCGCCAGATGCCTGACCACAGATATGATGGGAAGTGGCCGTCAGCACTGAACTGCTCTGCGCCTGCTTTTCCCATCACTCTTCACATACAGGACTGAACGCGAAGATCGCTATAATATGCGTGCTGATGCCCTGCCCGACATCCCTGAGGGAAGAATGCATCACCCATGGAAACACCAGAATGCTCGATGGCAAATCCTTTGGGAAGTCTACCCCTGAAATAAAGACAGATCAAAACCAAGTCATTCCTTTCGCGCCTCCTTGCCAGCACAAAACGGTGTCCGTGGAGTTTCTGATGCTTGCTGATAAGAGTCAGCCCCATCTTTTCTCTTCGCCCCTTTTGCCTCCATCCCTACCGCATTCGCGCAACAGACTCCCTGTATACTCATCGCTCACTACGCTCCCGAGCGCGTACCCAAATCCTCCTCTCCTTCATCCAGATACTGATCCTAGTACTTACCTACTACCCTTCTTCCTGGATATCCCGCGTAATCCACTCGATACAGTGCTCCCATGGTGTGGAAATTACCCTCAGGATACGAGCGCCTTGAAGATGGAGGCGGAGAGCTCCCGAATGAGAACCATGAAAGGGCGACGAATACACCTTGAAGTCCTCAGATCATCATTCAATGCTCCACGTCGGGAACTCATGGCTGGAGGGCGCCTGACACAGAGTGGAGTGCTCACACGGCAGCCGGGGTGGACCTGACACGCCAGGACCTCGTCCGCTTCGCAAAGGTGTCTGCGCATGCCGGACTGGAGATGCGCGCTCAGCTGTACGAATACAATGGCAGCAAAACGTCACACAAGTTTGCGCGGCGGCTTGGGCGTAATTTCGTCGCTGTGGAGACGAGCCATCTGCACAGGATGACTGGGTGGATCAAAGAGATCCAGGAGACTGATCCTGACCTGCAACATCTCTCGGTGAAGTGCACGAATTCCGCGTGCAAATCCGCAACTTCGACTGGCGATACTGTGGTCGTCGACCCTCTAATCGATTCGATTCGATTTGCGGTGAGAAACGAATTGACCTTCGACTGCGGGGTACTCGTTGATGGGGCTGTACCGGTTGACTGGGACGAAGTCGTCTCGAAGACAGTTCAGTTGCGGGTCAAGCAAGAGGACGGGACCGACACCGATCCCGAAGTCGATTCCGGAGGTCGACCAAGTTCAGCTGCAGATGACGGTCGATGAGGTGGGTCGATGAGGTGAGGGCCTTTAAGGCGGGTTCTGAGCAAGCGTCAAGTCAGTGGACGGGGGAAGGAATGTTGAGCAGTGTGATGTGAAGCCTATTTAACGGTGCGGCTGCGCGAGAAATGAGGGCAGAACGGGGTCAGCACAGAAATGGAGTTGATAAGACAGTACCTGTGAATGGCTCGGAGGCGCTGGTCACGAGCATGTGAAGTCGTGAAAGATCCTCACAAGACGAGTTGCATCACATTATCGAAAGTATCTGTGGTTAACGATTGGCGGTATCACTGCAAACTTCGGGACAGAGGAAGGCAACCATCATCCTGGCTACCACGAGTCCAGTCCATCTCGTCTCCCCGCGGTGAGACGTCCCTTTGAACGCATCGACATCCGCTTGTACGCTGGCTGCCTTTGAGCGATGTTTCAGTCTGTAGGAGAGATTGACGCCATCGCCTCCCGTTGACAGAAGCACTCAGTGGAGTAGCGAAGGCCGAGCAGGGTAAACTGACAAGGGAGTGTCATATATCTAGAATGATGGCAGGCGTATATAGAGAGGGTACAGTTGGCAGCCTACCGACCCAAGTACAAATCGTCCCTCATTCATTCTGCTGCCATCCGAACCTCACTACTGGAGCTTCTCACAAGCCAACCCACACTCCCATTCAGCTCAGCATGAAGTTCGTCAGGCTCCTTGCCGTGCTGGCCACGATGACCCGTGAGTGCTCTCTGCTTCACATGTCAGATTAGCCGGCTTACCAAGTCTCAGTTGTTCATTCTTCGCCTTTCCCACAAAACTCTGCTCCGTCACCCTCCGCCAGCGGGATGGTCTCGATCACCGCTGCTGATGCTCCAATCATGAGCCCAGCTCCTGATATGCCGCCTGCAGGCAATGGCACCGACATCACTTCTGGCAGTAGCGGTGGGGGCTCTAGAAGGGGTAAGGGCAAGGGTGGGGTCACAAAAAGGCCCATCGCGGGTCAGGGCGATGAACAAGAGGGAGGCGAAAGGGAAGGCGAGAGCGAGTCCCCGATGGGCGGCGGTTCCCATCTACCGGGCGGTCAAGGTGGTGCTCGGAACGCTAGGGCAGCCGAGGGGTGACTCCGAGAAGCGCAAAAGGGCGCACACGGTCGGAAGCACGGAAAGCATCATCACTTGGGCGGTGGTGAAGGAGGCGCGGAGAAGGAAGGGAATATGAGCGGAGGGGAACGCAAGGGGGGTGTCGGGTCCCAAGGTGACGATGACGAGGAAGGCAAGCCGTCGGGCGCGGCTGGTCCTGCTGGGTCTGGAGGTAGCGGAGAGGACATGAAGCCCAGCGGTTCAGGCTCAGGTGCGGGTCCCAAGCCGAGTGGAGAGGCTCCGACCATCCCGGCCGCGGGAGACCCTATGAGTGATATGACCACCCCTGCTGTACCGGATGAGGAGGGGAGCGAGAACGATGATGAGATCGATGAGCCGATGGGGGACGACGAGGGATCAGAGGATGACGGTGCTGGCGATGAATCGGAGGATGGTGATGAAGCGCCGGAAGGAATGGAATGCTAGATTATGAAGTAGAGTATATAGTCTGGCACTACATCCCCATATATTCTGGCACTATATAGGAAACTCGGCAGATGGATGACTATCGATTGGGGTATAAGAAGCGCCAAAGCACCCCACGCCGTGTCTGACCATTCAGAACCGAAACACCACGACCCGCGCCACATTCCTCACCGCGTTTCAGATTTAACGGACGCACGGACCAGCGAGGTGGAGGCTGTCGAGCCGAAAATTCCAGCTTGCTCAACTTGGTTGATCAATCGTCCATCTTCTTACTCACACAAGATGTCTCGCTCCCCCCTCGCCAGCATCATCGGGCGAGTGACAAACGCAGTCAGCCAGCACGGTAGTTCGAAACCAGGGTCGGCATTGCTTGGCGCGCGCGTGAACGCTTCGAGGCCTCAAGCCCGATGCCCGATCTCCGCATCTCGGACGTACGCATCCACCTCGAGCGTAGGCTCAAAGCCGCAGCTCAACGTCCCCACATCAGCAGGTGGACCTCAGGCCCCGCTGGAGTACTGCTCGTCCCTCGTCCAAAGACTCGATCCGGAGGCTTGGCTGTGTAGCTACTTTTGGCCAAAGAGAGAACGGGCCTGGTTTCTCGCTTGGAGAGCGTTCAACGTGAGTCGCAAGCCATCTTTCTTCGTAGATGACCAGCTGACGGACTTAAGCTCGAGCTGCATCTCGTCTCTACCACAGTCACTCAGCCTGCACTCGCTTCGATCCGGTTCCAATTCTGGCGGGATGCGTTAAAAGCTATCTTTACGAAGGATACTGCGGGCGGGGCGGCGGCGGTCCCGCAACATCCAGTAGCGGTGCTTCTGGCTGAGACGAGGCGGGAGCGGCCCATCCAGAAGTATTATCTGAGCCAAATGATCGATACCAGGGTGAGTATCCCCAAAGCTGCACAGGGCGGACTTCGCTGATGAAATCATAGGCCAAGAACCTCTCTTTACCGCCATCATCACCAACTCTCGAATCTCATCTGACCACACACGGCCCATTACACACATCGCTCCTTCTCGGTCCCCTACCCCTCCTTCTCCCGCCCACTCACGCATCCACCTCCGGTATCTCCCATACCCTCTCCCACCTATCCACCTTGCTATGCATCACTTCCCTCCTCCGCTCACTCCCCATCCTCGTCTCGAAGCGGTCCCTGAACATCCCGGCGGACGTGCGCGAACGACACGGCGTCGTCGAGGAGGATGTGCTCCGGAATGGGGCGGCAGCGAAGGGGGTCAGAGATGCATGCTATGAGATCGGGACAAGGGGGATGGATGAGTTGATCACTGCACGGAGGGAGACGAAGGGGGCTGGAGGCAGGGTGGAGCCGAAGGCTGTACGGCCGTTGTTCTTGTCCGCAGTAAGTGTTCATCCTCCTGCGCTCGTGCTTCGACGTCATTCATGCACAGAAGCTGATCGATCCAGATACCTGCTGAGCGATACTTGAAGCGGTTAGAGGGTGTGGACTTTGACGTGTTCCACCCAGATCTACAGAAGCAAGATTGGAAACTAGCACCCACTATCTGGTGGCGGAGTCAGACGGGCAAATTGTAGTCGATCTCGGCATAAAGCAGTCGATACCATCTTCTGGCCCCTGCCGGCGGATTATCAGTTCATGCATGGTGTCTAGCTACTATGTGATCTACCTACTACGTACAGTGGCTCGCTATTTACTCCAACCGCCTCCGCCGCCAACTGCCTCAGTGGACCGGAAGTACACCTACGACCCCTTCTCCTTCTGTAACCCGCCAGTACGCGCCGAGCGTGCGACCGTCCACCCCCCCAAGTAGCCCATACTCATCTCGTCGAGAAACTCGCGCCTGCCCCTGATACCACCTCTACTTCTTCTTCTTTTGCACCTCCTCCTGCTTGACCGGATGTAACATGATCCTCGGGGCGAGATTTGGCTGATTCGCTGTTGGTACGCCCATATGCCCCTTGGACCAGTCGTACGAGAATGCGCTGGAACCTTAGCTAAGATTCTGTTGCCAGAATCATTCCGGACTTACTAGGCGAAAATAGTGTGATTCGAATTAAAAGCGCATGAAGTGACGGGCGAGCCAAATTGTGGTGGCTTGGATTCACTATCCCCATTGTTCAGCTCCTTGAGCGTCATCCCTAAAGTATCAGCGCCTATGCCATTCCGATCAGGGTAGCAGCTCACCTTTCAGCTTGGTCCGTCCCATACCATCCCAGAAAGTAATGGCCCCATCTGACCCGGCGGTACAGAATGTCTCATACTCCTTGTGGAAGCAGATATCATTCACGGCGAAGACGTATTGCGATGGAAGGATGGCACCATTATGCGACACGGTAGTCGCGTGATTGACGATGCCTTGAGGAACACCGCCGTTCGAGAGATCGTGCCTGTGGCATTTGAAGGAGTAGCTAGGCTGCATCAGCTTCGGTTGCCCGCTGAACAGGGGCAGAGGATCTGCTTGTATCTTCACTCACCTAATTTTGTCGTCCATCGGCATGAAAGGATAACTAGGTCATGTCAGCTCTAGATTCACGAAACACATAACGATCAAGCTCACTGTACTCCAACACGACCTTCTATGCTTCCGATAGCGTATGCCTCGATCGAAGGGAAACACTTGATGACTTTGGTCTGCCATCTGAGTGGCGAGTCGCGGGACTGAAGTCATCAGCTGGGAAAATTGCGCAGAAGCTGCTGGCTCTACTTACTACGGCTGACGTGAAAGGGTCGCTCCATCTGAATGTGTGTATCATCCGGTCGGCTGTCCCGATGACCTATCTATTAGAGCTAGCTCTGAAGTTGACACAGGGAAGCAGGAAGTGGACCTACGAGGATCTGTCCGTTATGGTCCATCGCGTATGGCCGGTCGCTGAGCATGACGGGCCCACTTGATCCTGGTCGAATGATGGCCCGATTGTTGTTTACATCCCAGTACTTCGAGATCAGCTATGTAATGTGAGGGACGCGAGATACAGCCTCTCCGTATCTTACCGCGACTCTCGGATCGCAGTGCGGACATGACTTCTACTCACTCGAAGCTGCTTGTCCCAACCTGCCGAGACCAATATCTGCTGCCCTCCTGTATTGACGAATGCCACACATTTGACTGGCTTGTCGTGTGTGTGCAAAGTCGTCGCTTGGCCAGTCGCCAGATCAAAGCACTTGACCGCGCCGTCACAACCGCCAGAGTAGACTTTTGTCCCGTCCTGCTCGTCAGCGCTCATTTCCATCCTTCACATCGTTCTTCCAGTTGCCAGAGCCAGAGCAGAAACCCACCGAATGCCAGCACAGATCCAGTACCGGCTTGTCGTGGCTGTACATTGCCCTCGGCTCCGATTGGCCGTCATTCCTCACGGCGTACAGCCGGACATTGTTGTCCCATGACCCGACGGCGAGAATGTCCGTCCCGCCCGCCAGGGGTGAAATGACGGGTGCAAACATCATCTTGGAGATGGAGTCGGGAGGAGGTGAGGCGAGAGCCATATCAGGCTGCTGCGCGGTGCGGTTGATCTGCGAGCCGAACATTTTGGTGAAGGGGGATTAGGGGGAGGACTCGAGGGAAGATGCTGGGCTAGTGCCTACTGCGCGGCTGGATATAAGACGAATGTGGTGAATTTCGCAAATCAGCCGTGCGGTCGGTACGCGAGGGTATGCTGTATGGCAGTGATGATTCTAGGGAGGGAGAGTTATGAGAGAGAGGTGTTGTATGGCTGGCTGTCTTGCAGCAGCAGGCTGGCTGCTGGCGGCGCGTGGTACGACCGTGGGAAACCCGCCGCCTCAAAAGTTGGTGAGACCGAGCTGCAGGTCCACCTCTTTCCTACTATACCTCCTAAAGCCTACTTGTTCATCATGGCCTCCCTGACAGACCTGTTCGAGTTCCTCTCCTCGCCAAACCCTTCAGCAAGGCAAATAGCCCTGCAGAATCTGGTCGGGCACACCCCGAATACCGCTGCACAGAGGCATATCTTCGTGCCCTCCATTCTGGCCCCTCTGGCTTCGGCCGGGCAGGCGCAGTCGAATGGAGCTAGTGGAGGTGGACTGCTGGGTGGAGGAGGGTGGAAGATGACGGAAGATGATGGGCGGAAAGTCCAGGGAATCAGGGATCTGATGGGGATGTGTAGGGACCAGGGTGTAGGTCATCCCTCTTTGGCGAGCTGGGCGTGGACGAGATGGGACTCACCTGTCCGATACTGATATCGCCGGGCGACCCATCCGGCTCCTTACGATGATAGAGAGACCGTACTGACCTGCTCAGGTTATCGCTCATGATGCCTTGTCTGCGCTGATCAACCTGTCGGACAGCTTTGCCGTGGCAAGGCATATTGCTGACGACCGGGACTACCTGGTCTGGCTGGTCTCTTATACAGCGGTAAATTTGCTCTTTCATCACATCATACCTCTTCGACTCGCTCACACGACTGTGTACCATACCATCCACTTAACAATCGGATCCCGAGCCAAGCTGATCCGCCCAGAACCCTACCTCCCCACTTTCCCCTCTGACCTCCATGCTCCTCTCCAACCTCACCTCACATACCGCCCTCCTCCCTTCTCTCGCCTCTCTAACAATCCCCGTCGTTCCTCTACCCCAGTCAAAGACATACCCGCCATACTACCTCACCGCCAGCGCGTCCGCCTCGTCCTTCCGCCATCCCGACTTCCGGGATCGCATGCTGAACCAGCCGGATGCCGGCGTGGGACAGGGCGAGGAGGTCGAGGTGGAGGGTCTGAGAGCGCTTGTGCAGGCGTTTGAGGATGGGGCGGGGGAGGGAGTAGTGAAGGGAACAGGGAAGCGGAAGGGGGAGTGTCATTTCTTGGCGAGCGTGTTTGCGAATGTGTCCACTGTGAGTTTGACAGCGCAACCTCATTGGCTGAGGGTAAAACTTATGAGACAGCTACCAGCGACGAGATCATTACTATTGACGCCCTACTCGCCCTTCCCAAATCCCTCCACTTTCCCCACTACCTCTACTACCGCCGACGCATCCACCCCCTCTGACGCGGACATGGTCGACGCACCCGCACCCGTCGAGCCCGAGCCTCTTCTCTCGAAACTTACGCCCCATACTTCCCATCCCGATATCATCCGCCGAGGAGGCTGTCTTGGCGCTATTAAGAACATCGCTCTGGACAGGGGATGTCACGCCTTTCTCCTAGCGGGCGAAGGAGACCGGGTCCGACTCGAACGAACGGGAGCAGGTGCGGTTTCTGGGTCGTCGATGGAGAAGGAGGAAGTAGGGGAGGAAGGGTTGATTGTGAGGGGTGTGGACGTGCTGCCGGCTGTCTTGGGACCGTTGATGGGTGGCGAGGAGTATGATATGGAGGTGAGTCTGTCTGGCGCCACTAGAGCGCGGCATGGCTAATAAGGCAGGATATGGAGCAATTACCGGTAACGCTGCAATTCCTCCCGCCTGATAAGCAGCGAGAACAGGATAGCGTTCTGAGAATGATGTGTGTCGAGATCCTGCTCTTGCTATCGACATGTGAGTATCATCCTTCTCAGGGTAAAATGCGACGTTGCAAGCTTATGCTCCAGCGTACACTGGTCGAGAAACACTACGGAAAAGAGGCGCCTACCTTGTTGTCCGAGAACTGCATAAAGTTGAGAAGGAACGGAATGTAAGTATCCCGTCCCCCTTTGGCGCAGAAACACGAACTGATCCAATGTAGATCGTAGATGCCATCGAACGCCTGGTCGGCCTGCTCCAAGGGGACGAAGGACGGGAGACGAAGGATGATCTCGTCGAGGAGCTGGTCAAGGATCATGCGCCAGTGCGGGCGGGGACGGTCAATGTAGCGGCGGAAGATGTCTCTGCGCCTCAGGCAGCGGCCATCGGGGAGGACGAGGATGTCGTGGAAGTGTAGCGACACTATCGTTGTTAGACTCTCTATCAATCCGAGATATACATATTCCGCGCTTCCGATAGGTCCTACAACAATTCCGAGACCTTGGCCTGCTCCTCTGCTTCCTGCGCTTCCTCCTCCCGCTCATCCGCGCGGATCGCGTCGAGCATGACCTGTACACTTCTCCTCATCTCGGTCGAGTCCTCGCTGACGCTGTCCCCCGACATCTCCAACATCTGCGCCATCTCGACCTTGCTCCTCTCTCGCCACGCCTTGGCCTTGACGGGATCGGCCAGCTGCTCCTCTAGCGTCCCCTCCCCCATCATCGTCGCGATTGACATCGGGCCCCTGGTCTTGCCGTCCTTCCCAACCCGTCCCTTGATCATCTTCTGATACATCGCCTCGGCCTCCTCGTCCTCCGCATGCTCGATCCGCCGCTCAATGACGTATGCACGAGCGAGATTTTCCCCTGCCAGGCCTTCAGGCCCGGCGATGTCGATGCACCCCGGAGGGAGGTCTTTGAGGGCGATGAGGCCATTGACAAAGTCGTCCATGTGCGCCGTATGCACTTGGGATTTACTGCTTGTTAGGGGAGTACAGCGAACGAGGCTGAAGAGCAACTCACTCGATAGAGATGGAGTATGCGAGCTCATCGGGGTTCAGCGCGTTGATGAGCGCAATCTAGACGCGTCAGCATTCAACACGCGAACGAACAGAAGTCGAAACAAGGCTCACGTTCGCCTTGATGCACTCCCAAGGATCATCGTCATCGTCATCGTCATCACTGTCGTCCGACTCCCAGTCATCGTCGTCGACCTGAGGGGGAGGAGACGGCGCGGCATTGGACAGGCGCGTCCGTTTGGCGGGCCGTGCGGCTGCCTGCTTGGGCATACCGCGCGCGCCATCCTTGAGCTTGACTGACTCGGTGCTGACCATGCGGTGGGGCACGATATCGAGCTTGCGGCCATTTCTCTCGAGCGAGATGGTGGGCTTGGCTTTTCCATTGGTGGTTTGAGTCATGCTGGTGGACGCGTTGATGAGCGCCATCATTTGCTCTTGGCCATTGAGGTCATCGAAGGTATCCATGGTGTGAGAGGAGTGTGTGTGTATGGGTGGGGGATCGAGATGACTGGAGATGAGAGGAGGATGTGAAGGTGAGACGAACGGAGATGCGAGGTGTATGGAGAACGTGAAGCAAAGATGGGAGTGAAGGTCAGGACAGCGACGCGTCAGTACATAGAGTCTCGATGCTCTCGCTGCCAGAACAGGTCAGGGAAGGCACAGAGGGAGTGCAGTCAGGGCAGAGGAACACGTACAGCCCCCGTCGCGAAGCTTCCCGACGCGCCGAGAGCTCATCTGCAGGATCCTGCCATAGCAAGATTTTGCAAATGCTGGAAATCTTGCTCGGGGCGGATACTGCATGACGACAATGAGGAAAGGTCATTTTTATGCAGAAGCGGCACGGGGTTTCGCGGCGATATGAGCTATTCACTCGCACGAGATTTCGGAACCAAGATGAAACGCAATGAAACGGGCATAATAGTTGCCTGTCTAGAGAATCTAGAGAAGACCTCAGAAGAGCATATCGACGTGCAAAGCCGCAAGACTGGCGCGTGGGACCTGCTGACCGTCCCTTATGAGCTAATTACAGGCCACTGAACGACCACTCAGTACACCCATATCCTAAAGAGCGGAAGAGACCACACCCATGTGGTAAATCTGAGAAAAATCCAGAAAAAAGGTAGCAGCATGCTGTCACGGGAGGGGGGTGACTGGGCGAG